TTTGGTGGGCATATTGATTAAATTATCATTAATGTTGTACGTGAAATCTTAAGACCATATATTTCAAAAGTTTAATTTTTTGTTAAGAATTGTAGGTATAAAGTAAAGTGTTCAATCTGGTTGATTAGAATATTTTATTGCATTTTTACTAAATCAATATAGAAATGCTGGAGAGAAAGTTTTCACTTTGAGAGTGAAATATTAGGTTAGAGATCATCTCCACTTCTCATTCAAGCAAGAATTTTCTGTAAAACACTAATTAGATGAACTTATTTTTGCTTAAGCACCTCCACCTTTCCAATGAAAGCAGGCACACATGCTTTTAACCCTTCTAGATGATTGTGGATGATAGAAAATTTTTATATTGATCTGAAGTCCACCTAATTTATACTGGCCATTCTGGTCTGTGTAACTATATAAAATAAATGTTACTTCCTCTTCCATATGAAAGCTCTTCAAGAGTTTGAACAAACCTGTCATGTTGTTACTGAACCATGATTATCTAAAATAAATTGCTTTGTTTCCTTCTCTAGATCCATAACATCTTGTGTGCTTTGCCAAATATGTTCAAATGATTGTGCTCTTTAAATGTGTGGCTGCTTGGAGGACTTCTCCGCTGGTCCAGTGGCCAAGACTCTGCTGCCAATGCAGGGGGCTTGGGTTCAGTCGCTGTTTTGGGGAGCTAGATCCCACATGCCGCAGCTGAGAGTCTTCAGGCCGCAACTAAAGATCCCACATGCCACAATAAAAATCAAAGATCCTGAGTGCTGCAGCTAAGATCCGGTGCAGTCAAGTTAATTGATTAATTAGTTAAAACAATAAGTGTAGCTTCTTAGAGCTCATTATAAAATTTCAGTGTGTTGGAACCATTACAGAGCATAGTGGAATTTTAGGCCCTTGCTCTGGACATCTGCTTCTAGCAAGAATTTAGGATTATTTTAGCATCTTTCTTATCTGTATTTGACTAGAACCTTCAGACCATTTATATTTTAATTACTTTTAAGCATATGTTACCCATGTGCTTTATGTGCATTTTAAAACATATTTAGGTTAGATCCTGAACAAGTTAGTCATATTTGATATACTTTATTCAATTTCAGAAAATAAATATACACTTTCGGTCTTGATTCTGATATTCTGTGGATATTATTCATTCCAGTTTTAGTCATCCGCAGATTGAGCAGGCGTGCAGTCTTGTCTTTGTCATCAACAAAAATGGTAAACATTCCATCTCTTGGTGGCAGTCTCCCTCTCTGTCTGGGTTTTAGTCACACTTGAGTTTTTTTAATTACCTCAAAGTTACCATACTCCTCCCTGTGTTAGGCACTTTCTGTAGTCTCTGCCTGGACTGTCCTCCCCTTGCCATGCCCCATCTTCTCTGGGTAACTCTGACTGATGGCAGATCAAATGTTTGCCCAAGGACTTCTCTGACATGACTAGGTCAAGTCCCGATTTTATAGGCTTTATTCTTTCAATACCCTATACTTGTTTGGCTTAGCACTTGCCATTTTGTGAAAATGAAGGTTGCTCAGTCTGTCTGACTCTTTGCGACCCCATGAACTATACAGTCAGTGAAATTCTCCAGGCCAGGATACTGGAGTGGGAATTCCCTTCTCCAGGGGATCTTCCCAACCCAGAGATCGAACCCAGGTCTCCCGCATTGTAGGCAGATTCTTTACCAGCTGAACCATAGGGGAAGCTCAAGAATACTGGAGTGGGTAGCCTACCCCTTCTCCAGGGGATCTTCCTGACCCAGGAATCGAACCAGGGTCTCCTGCACTGCAGGCAGATTCTTTACCAACTGAGCTATGAGGGAAGCCCTATCATTTTCTATGTATTTATTATGCGATTGCTATCTCTTCCCCACTGTATCAGATGCTCCATGATGGCAAGAACCACGTTTCTTGCACTGACTTTTGAAGCCCCAGAACATAGCACAATGCAGGGGGTATGGTGCTTATTGAATTTAATTTTTCAAAGGCTGTGTAACAGTGGCTCCCTAGCACTGGTGTACAACCTTTGGCTCCTGATGATGTTTTCACACATTTGGATTAGAACAAGAAAAATAAGGACACTAGTGTTTGTGTATGTAGTGTATTTCAGTGTGAAATTACTGCCTTCTTGGGAAGGACTTCTATTCTAGTATTATTAATATATCCTTCTATTTCTTAGGTTGTAAGTTCTTAAATTTTTTGTTACATTTTAGGGATTTTTTTTTTGTTTATTGTTGGACACGGTCCTTACTTAGAATAGAAACAAATGTGCAGCACCACGGGGCTTTGAGACTTGACTAGTTTGTGAAATCCAGGAGTCACTAATATTGAATACTCTCAAGATCTCCTCTAGGCTAAAATCTTTGTTTCTCTTTGAATACAGTTGTTATGAATGCACTTGGCTATATTTAAAATATGTAATTTTGCCTTCAGAGATTTTTTTTAGTGCCTTGGATCTTCCTCAACAACTTCCTTTCATTTATCTCTGTAATACATACTTATCATTGCCAAGTAGGCTCAGATTCAAAACAGTAATTGTCAACTTTTTCTTTTTAGAACAGTTGTACTTTTCCTATATTTAAAGTGACTAAAAGATAATATTTTAGATTTGAATACCAAAAGACAAAATTTGCATATTTATGGTTACTGAGAACTCTTACTGTAAATGATTTTATATTTTAAAGTTAGATAGTTAATATTTTAGTTTTAACTTACTTTTTTTATTTATTGTTACGGGAGATTTCCTGACAGAACTTTTGCTATAAATTGTTACTATTTCACCTGCTTTATATGCTATGAGTATTAATTCAGGTGAGGTAAAATGATAGTCTTTAATGGGTAAATAAAATGGAATTTCTTGTAGGAGGGGCAATTAGATTTTTTTTTATTCTAATGCTTTTTTCTTTTTCCAACTGTAGTTTTTAAAAAACTCTTACTTGATTTGTGACTTTGTTACTTTAACCTCTCTGTGCCTGTTTCCTTAACTATCTTGTTTCTTTGTTTATCATGAGGATTTAAATGACTAAATTTATGAATACATGTAAAGTGCCTAGAAGATTATAACACAAATATTCGTTGATTTTACTGTTATTAGTAGTGGTATATATATTGAATCAGATTTCTTTATTCAGTTTTATAACATATCAGGATGCTGCTGCTGCTAAGTCACTTCAGTCATGTCCAACTCTGTGCAACCCCATAGATGGCAGCCCACCAGGCTCCCCCACCCCTGGGATTCTCCAGGCAAGAACACTGGAGTGGGTTGCCATTTCCTTCTCCAATGCATGAAAGTGAAGTTGCTTAGTCATGTCCTTAGCGACCCCATGGACTGCGGCCTACCAGGCTCCTCCGTCCATGGGATTTTCCAGGCAAGAGTACCGGAGTAGGTTGTCATTGCCTTCTCCGACATATCAGGATAGATAAATACTAAAAGTTTATCTTACTTTCTATTTTAACCAAAGGAAAGAAAACTATCTAGAATAAACATATCCAACTCTTCTCTGGCCATGATACATAGAATCTTTAATGATTTGAATGATTACTAAGTAAATTTTTGTGATTAAATTTTAAGTCAATTCAGTAACTTATTGATCTCCATTGATAGCAGGTTATTAGTGATCTAGACTTTTAACTAAAATATCACCTTTATATTTAGAAAACAAATTACATAAATTCTAAGTTTAAAATACCTAGAGGAGTTAAAAAGCCAAAGCACTATCTTTTTTTTCCTAAGCAGAAAATGTAAGGTAGTTCAGTTTGCTGAAAAATCTGTTAAATTTACATATATTTCACGATTAGAATTAAGTTGCACATTTATAAATATAGTAATTCTACAATAAAAATTTTAGCTGATCTATTATATCATGATTATACATCATAGAATATTATAGTGTTTAAGAATATAACCTTGGAAGAAAAGTTATGAGCAACCCAGGCAGCATATTAAAAAGCAGAGACGTTACTTTGCCAACAAAGTTCATATAGTCAAGGCTATGGTTTTTTCCAGTAGTCATGTATGGATGTGAGAGCTGGCCTATAAATAAAGCTGAGCGCTGAAGAATTGATGCTTTTGAACTGTGCTGTTGGCGAACACTTTCAAGAGTCCCTTGGACAGCAAGGAAATCTAATCAGTCCATCTTAAAGGAGATCAGTCCTGATGCTGAAGCTGAACCTCCAGTACTTTGGCCACCTGATGCAAAGAACTGACTCATTTGAAAAGACCCTGATGCTGGGAAAGATTGAAGGTGGGAGGAGAAGGGGACGACAGAGGATGAGATGGTTGGATGGCATCACCGACTCAATGGACATGAGTTTGGGTAAACTCTGTGAGTTGGTGATGGACAAGGAGGCCTGGCATGCTGCAGTCCATGGGGTCACAAAGAGTTGGACATGACTAAGCAACTAAACTGAACTAAAGAATATAAGCACAAGAATCTAAAAAACATGAGTTTAAAGTTCACTGCAAGCATTTACCAACTGTTTAACTTTAGATAAGTCACTCAATTCTATTTCCTCATCTGTCAACTAGGGCTATAATAATGCCCACTTCTTAGGGTTATTGGAAAAAATAGATGAGATAGTATAAGAAAGCCCTTAGTTTGAAGCCTGACGTGGTGAGCAGTCAGGAAATGTTTTTAGGAAAATTATATGAGGTAAATAATCTTCCCATTAAATATAGTCAATTAAATGCCCATGTGTGTGTAATGGTTGCCAAATAGGCAAAATTGTAGAAATGCCCCCTCCCAATAAGATAAATGAATCCTGTTTTCTTATTTAACTATATGATCTTTAGAAAAATAGAACTGTAAATCTTTATAGTTGTTTAAATTCCACCTTAGGTTCATGCGAGTTTATTGAGATCTCACTTAAAAGTATTCTTGTTTTTATTTTCTTGAAGGGATGGGTATATTGCCATTTTTATATTGCACATAAAAGTAATTTTTATGTATATTTGACAGAAACTATGTGAAGCAACACTCTTTGGATTTCATAAGACATCATCTCATCATGGGACAGCAAATTTCGGATCAGACACAGTTGGTTCTTAACAAGTTACCAGAAAAGGTAGCAAAACATGTCACATTGGTTCGAGAAAGTGGCTCCTTAACTTATGAAGAATTTCTTGGAAGAGTAGCAGAACTTAATGATGTGTAAGACTTGCTCTTTTCATTTTATTTTTTCTCCCTTACATATGCTCCAATGTTGTGACTGTCTGAAAAATAACCAGAAGTGTTGATTGGTAAGACTTAATGTTTTCAGCAGCAGTGGGTAGCAGGTATTTATTGAATACCTTAAGACTTTCTATGTGACTGTTTCAAAATATGTCATAGGACTAAAAGAATGGAAAGAACTTAAAATTGAATTTTGATCATGGGCATATAAATTGACCTTTGTTTTAAAAGCACTGAAGAAGGTGAATAACAGAAGAGAATATACCAATTAGTCATCTAGAGAAAGATGCCTAGGGTAGTCAAAGGGCACTTCAGGTTTCTGACTATGAGCCAGTTCATCTAGATACTAAATCTGTGTTTGTCCACTGAACCACTGTTTTGCCAGATACACGCCTATATGGTAGTAATTTGTTTGTCATCACTGAAGAATAAGATGTTTTGTTTATAAATGTTTTCTATTTAGCTATCATCTTTAAATCTCTGATCATCTTTTAATCTTTGATGGACTTCCCTGATAGCTCAGTTGGTAAAAGAATCCACCTGCAACGCAGGAGACCCTGGTTCAGTTCCTGGGTCGGGAACATCCCCTGGAGAAGGGATAGGCTACCTACTCCAGTTTTCTTGGGCTTCCCTTTGTGGCTCAGCTGGTAAAGAATTCGCCTGCAATGTGGGAGACCTGGGTTCGATCCCTGTGTTGGGAAGATCCCCTGGAGAAAGGTAAGGCTACCCACTCCAGTATTCTGGCCTAGAGAATTCCATGAACTGTATAGTCCATGGGGTCACAGAGTCGGACGCAACTGAGCAACTTTCACTTTCACTTTCTTTAAATCTCTACTTAATTCTTGAATGGATTTCTAAGATGGAATATAAACTTCTCTGCCTCCTTAAAGAGCACACCTAATAGAACTTAGCCTTTTCTTTGTGAATTATTCTTTATTAAATCAATTTTTATACTGACCTGTATAGAAGATATTAAAATACACAGGGTTCTTTGTCCCTGAATGACCCCAGATTGCTACACTTTTAAAAGACTCTGTTTTCGTTTGTGTATTCTCCCTAGTGACAGGAGAGTAGATGTCACTTCTATTAAGTCTTCCTCTAGCAGCACTCATGTCCGACTCTTTATATATGTGTCTTCTATCTCCCTGAAGGTATAGTTATAACTTATTGGCATTGCCTTTTAAACCTTTTAAAGCTTCTCTCTTTAGTCTATTCAACTTCGCTAACATTCGCTGAACACAGAGTATGTGCAGGGCACTCTGCTGACAGACTAAAGTTTTAACTGAGGCCTAAAGTGATTACTCAAGTATTGATTTCCCTAAATCTAAAGTTCTTCCCACTATCCCACATTACCTCTCCTTACACCTGGAAAAGGCCAAACAAAATCACCTAGAAGTTTGGGACCATTTAGCATGTATCAATTTATATTATAGTCACCATTAATAGTTTAGGGTAAAATACATGAATGTACTCCTTAAGTTTTGTTATAGCTATATCAGATAAGAGACATACTTGGCTATCTGGAACACTTAGATAAAAAGAAGGAAGTAAGTCTTTTTATGGACATGGCTGGAGCATCCTGTCATTAGCCGGTCATGAAGAATAAAGCATTCTTGACTCTTAAAAGTTATATTAGAAAAAGCATTTAAAAGCATTTCTTTTAAAAACATTGGATTTCACTCATTAAAAACAAACAAACAAAAGAACCCTGTATGGATATAGGGATGGATCCTGTATGTAAATGCATAGAAAATGAATTGGAATGATACACATTGGGTCTCAGGTGAGCTGATGGAGAAGTGGGCAGATAAGGGGGATTTTACATTTTACTGTGTGTATTTGTTTATTGTCTGATCTTTTATAATAAAAATGTAGTCATGGTTTTTAAAACTCTAGCATTTTATTTTGTTCTTTTTTTTTTAAGATCATACAAATGGTAGCATTTGAGTCATTACTTTTGAGAACATATTCCTAGGAAATAAAATTGGATTGTGAATTTAATAGTATCATAAAAGTGAAATACTTTTTTATAAAGTTTATTGTTTCAACTTTCTAACAAGTAATCAATGACGTTTGCCATCCCCTAAAGTCTTAGAACTTATGTACAAAAAAACCTAGTCTGTCCTTTGAAATTTTGTTTTTTGGTTTAAAGATACTGGATAAAATGTGTCCTATGAAAGCATCCACAAGCTAAGCTTACTGTGTAATACAGAGACGATGGTATAGTGTGTCTCCCTTTTATTTATTTAGCACAGAATGTTTCTGACTATATTTGCTTCTTAAAACCAATTTCCATGGACCAGAGTTGGACATTTCACAAATTCAGTGCTGTCTGAGAATTATATAGTTAAACTTACATAAAAGAAGCATGACTTGATAGATAGAAAATGGAACTGACAACTGGCAGTACTAGTTTAACTGGCTGATTTTGTTACCTAGGGCTAGTTGCTTAATTTTCAATGGCCTCAATTTATTTAGCTGAAAGTTACTTAGCTCTGAATATGATATCCCCACTGGTATTAAGAGAGAAATGTGAGTAATGACTTAAAAAATAAAAAAGGAGCTGCAATACTTAATTATGTCTTTGAACTGATTTAAATTGACACTTATGCACAATATTGAGTTATCCTAAAAAGTGTTATATTCTTATGTTAGTATTCTCTTTCTTTGTAAATTAGAATGACTCTGCTAGGGGAAGAAAGTAAAGTTCTATGTCTCAAAATCATTTGCTTCATCCAGTTTCAAATTATCTATAAAAATATGTGTTGTTCCTTAAGGAAAGACTCAACCAAGAGCAAGATTTTTTCACATTTTATATATATCTGAGGCGGTAGTCAAAATTGGGATAAATGAAACCAGCTGAATTTTTTCTTTAAGTACCTGATTCTTTGTACACATTTTTTCTAAATGTCTTTATTAGAAATTTAAAGACCATTGAGATATAGATCTGAGAAAAATAGATTTATAAACATTGTTCCACTATGCTGTCCATTTTGGAAATTAAATTGTATGTGTATAGTCAAAACATTTTCTATCCCTGTATTTTAAGAATCTTAACTATTATGATCACTGTTACTGTTACTTGCCTTTCTGTGTTTTCTTCACATTTCCTCCTCTGCCTTAAACTTTCTTGAATCTGGTCTGATAGCTCCATTATTTTATATGACTTTTCATAAAATTAATGAATGTGTTTACCTCTTTTCAGAACTGCTAAAGTGGCTTCTGGCCAGGAAAAACATCTTCTCTTTGAGGTACAACCTGGCTCTGATTCCTCTGCCTTTTGGAAAGTGGTTGTACGAGTGGTCTGTACCAAGGTAAGAGTGATAGAAACTTCCAGCTCTAAGCTTAAACTATTTTGGTGGTTAGAACTGCAATTATTAGTGTAATATGATATAGCAGAAATAAATATTTATAATTTGGTTTTTATTAATATTTATTTGTAAAACTGTGTAAAATAATTTTGATGGCTCTTCCAGGTTAACTAAATTTCACTGGTTATATAATTGTCATATAGCAGAAATTTTTATACTCAAGGAAGGCAGTAGTAAACTCTCATCTTTATCATGTACCTCTCTTTTTGGATTTTAACTGACTGTGGAATCCTAAAGTGACACCCTACATAGCTCTAAGATGACTTTTTAAAAATTAAAGTATCTTATGAGATCATTTCTTTTAAAAAAACACTAGGTTTTATTTGTTAAATGATAATTTTAAAATCCATTAGAAAGTGTTGGTTTTTTGGTTTGGTTGGGGGGGTTAAAAGTAGTTTTTAGTTTTACAATGGATTGTGGGTTTGGTTTTTTTTTTTTGTAAGTTATTTTTAGTTAATTAAGGGATTTTCACCATCAGTACACTGTGTCTCTTAATTCATCTTTAAATTTAAGGTAAATGAATATATCAGCTATGTAAAAAACTGTGATGGCAGCAGTCATAGAGTGTCAGGAAGCCTTATCCACTAATGGGTAGATTATAATAGGTGGTTCTTAACCTTTTTGAGGCCAGTGAACTTTTGGTGAAAATGAAGAAATGAATTTTATTAAGCTTTCTCCTATCCCAGCCCCTGCTCTTAAATACAATAAAATCATCCATAGTCCTATAAACAATAAGTTGGGCAATCATGAATGTCCTTAATTCAACTCCTGATCAATCTATAAAGAATTCCTGGGTGAGGAGATTTTTTTTTCTTTTTTATCATGGATCCTGGATGTTACCCAAATAATATGCCACATTTCCCCAATAGGTTTATTGCCTCTACTAAGCTGTAAGTGTAGTAGGATTGACTCTATTTAGTTGATCAAATTTGAAGGTCTAATCTATTTAAGTAATAAAAGAACTTTTAAGAGGATTAGATTAGCAAAGACCAAGATCTTACTTCCACACTTGAATAAATGTGGACTAATTCCACCCTTGACTGAAGTTGAATGGCACCTGTTCAAGTTTACAGTTGCTTTAGAGAAAATATACAGTATCGTTTAATACCATTCAATTGGGTCTACCCACATTGAACATTTGCTTATTGATTTTTTTAAGTCCAAATTTTAAAAAGCACTATAATAGCTGCGAGAGAGCCATCATTCAAAAATTTTTTACAGTATTCATCAGAAGTAGATAATATGATACTAGTTTGGGTAGCAATGTAACTTTATATAGTGTATAATATGTTACAAATTGTTGAGGAATTTTAAACAGAAAAGTGATCTGATGAGAGTTGTGCTTTAGAAAGGTTATATTCATAGCATCACAAGTTAGAATTAGGAGAGGAGTCTGAAGGTGCAGAGACTAATCACAGAATCTAAAGCAATCTAGGTGAGAAGAAAGAGAATACATGCTGAAATAACAGAATGTGTTATCTCTGCACCTTCAGAAATAACAGAATACATGCTGAAATAACTTGATCGACAGTCACATTTTATTGTTTATAGTTTGACTCCTGGTCTCAAAAATTGTATACCAACCACATATTTTTCCATTTTGTGTTTGTTTTGGTGATTATATTTATATTAAATTCATTAGAGGTTTTTTTTACAGTGCTGTAAATATGCATACTCCCCAAAAGAACTTTGGGAATCTGCAACCTTTGACTTTGCAAAGAAATAAGGTAAAGAAGAAATGAAGAACTGGGCTTAAAATGTGTAAAATCCATTCAAATTAAGTATCTTCCATATTCCCATTGTCTGTGAGTTTACACTGTACATAATCTTTCAGGACTATTTGCAAGTCTACTTCATAGGATACATGGGTAAATTTATAAAAACTAGTGACAAAGGTCATTTCTGAAATAATATACTTTCTTTCTCCTTTTCTTGCTCTCTCTTCCACAGTAACCATCCAGCTGATCTTTTCGGTTTTACCTCTACTATATTTCACTTGAGTTTATTTGTAAGACAGAGTTCATACTCTCAAGGAGACTGTAACTAATACTTAGGCCCCTCTTTCTTCTCATCTAGATTACTTTAGATTCTGTGATTAGTCTCTGCACCTTCAGACTCCTCTCCTAATTCTAATTTGTGATGCTATGAGAATAGCCTTCCTAAAGCACGACTCTCATCAGATCACTTTTCTGTCTAAAGTTCCTCAACAATTCTTCCTTGGCTTCAATATAGTCTCAACTCAGGCTTCCCTGGTGATCCAGTGGTTAAGAATCTGCCTGCCAAAGCAGGGGACACAGGTTTGATCCCTGATTCCAGAAGATCCCACATGCCTCGGAGCAACTAGCCTGTGCACCACAACTCTTGAGCCAGTGCTCTGGAGCCCTACAGCTGCAACTACTGAGCCCTTGTAGCACAACTGCTGAAGTCTGTGTGTCCTAGAGCTGGTGCTCTGCAACAGGAGAAGCCACCACAAAAAGAAGCCTGTGCACCACAACAAATAGTAGCCCCCACTCGCTGCACCTAGAGAAAGTTCGTGCATAGCAGTGAAGACCCAGTGATTTAAATAAATGTTAAAAAAAAAATTCCAACTCATTAACCTGGCATTTGAGGCCTTCTGCAATATGGCTCCAAACTGTCTTTTCTGTTTCATCATTGTCCCCTTTTGCAGTCTACAGTCTCACCAGGCTTAACTAATTTAAGGCTGTGTAGCTGCAACTTTCCCATCTCAATGCCTCTGCTAATTGAGCTCCCTCATCTAGAATGTTCATTCCTCTGTCATTTAAATTGCCATCAGCTACAAATCACAGAAAACCCCTCTTCCACCAGTTTAAACAAAAAAAAAAAAATCTAAATAATGTTTAAATGGAATACTTTGTGGAAATATTAGAAAATTAATGAATTAAAATTATGGACTAAGGTGGCTGTTTAGAAGCTTCATGAATTATATTATTTTCATCTGTCTTGTTACTTAGACCAAAACCTTTGAGTCATCTTGACTTCTCTTTTTGTCTTATACCCACCCCACAGTCAGTGCATAATTGAATCCTGTTAGGTTGCTCTTCAAAATATATTCAGAATGTGACCAACTCTTAACCATTGTTACTACTATTACCTTATTCCTCGCAACCATCATTTCTCACTGGGATTATTCCAGGTGCCTTCTAACTCATCTCCTTGCTTCTCTGCCCTTGTCCCTATTCTGTCTAGTCTTAGATCAACAACCAGTCTATTCCACTCATAATCTGAAGTGAAATTAGATCTTAATTTTCCTTGGCTCAAAACCCTCCAGTGACTTGCCATGTACTTGAGATAAGAGCCAAAATCATTACTGTGATCAGCAAAGTCCTATACATTTGGCCCCACCTCACTCCCTAACCTCATCTTCTACCATTCTTCCCTCTCTCATTTTGTTCCAGTTGCCCTGGGCTCCTTGCTGGACCCTGTGCTTCTTACCAGTTTCACTTCTTCTTTTTTTTTTTTTTTTTCAGTTAATTAATTTTTTTAATGAAGGATAATTGCCTTACAGAATTTTGTTTTCTGTGAAACCTCAACATTAATCAGCCATAGGTATACATATATCCCCTCCCTTTTGAACTTCTCTCCCATCTCCCTCTCCATCTCACCCCTCTAGGTTGATACAGAGCCCCTATTTGAGCTTCTTAGCCATACAGCAAATTCCCATTGGCTATCTATTTTACATATGATAATGGAAGTTTCCATGTTACTCTTTCCATGCATCTCACCCTCTCCCCATGTCCACAAGTCTGTTCTCTATGTTTGTTTCTTCTTTGCTGCCCTCTAAGTAAATTCTTCAATACCATTTTTCTAGATTCCATATATATGCATTAGAACACAATATTTCTTTCTTTCTGACTTATTTCACTCTGTATAATAGATTATAGGTTCATCCACCTCATTAGAACTAACTCAAAGGCATTACTTTTTATGGCTGAGTAATATTTCATTATGTATACATACCACAATTTCTTTATCCATTCACCTGTTGATGGACATCTAGGTTGCTTCCATGTTCTAGCTATTGTAAATAGTGTTGCAGTGAACAATGGGATACATGTATCTTTTTCCATTTTGGTTTCCTCAGGGTATATGCCTAGGAGTAAGATTGCTGAGTCATATGGTGGTTTTATTTCTAGTTTTTTAAGGAATCTCCATACCATCTTCCATAATGGCTGTATCAATTCACATTCCCACAAACAGTGCAAGAGCATTCCCTTTTCTCCACACCGTCTCCAGCATTTGTTGTTTGTAGACTCTTTGATGATGGCCTTTCTGACTGGTGTGAGGTGATATCTCATTGTAGTTTTGATTTGCATTTCTCTAATAATGAGCGATGCTGAGCATCTTTTCATGTGTTTGTTAGCACATGTATGTATGTTCTTTGGAGAAATGTCTGTTTAGGTCTTTTTCCCACTTTTTGATCGAGTTGTTTGTTTTTCTGGTATTGAGTTGTATGAGCTGCTTATATATTTTGGAAATTATTCCTTTATCAGTTGTTTCATTTGCTATTATTTTCTCCCATTCTGAGGGTTGTTTTTTCACCTTGATTATAGTTTTCTTTGCTGTGCAAAAGCTTTTACGTTTAATCAGGTCCCACTTGTTTACTTTTTTTAATTTCCATTACTCCAGGAGGTGGGTCATAGAGGATCTTGCTTTGATTTATGTCATTAAGTGTTCTGCCCGTGTTTTCCTCAGAGTTTTTTAGTTTCTGGTCTTACAGTTAGGTCTTTAATCCATTTTGAGTTTATATTTGTTTATGGTGTTAGGAAGTCTTCTAATTTCATTCTTTTACATGTAGCTTTCCAGTTTTCCCAGCACCATTTATTGAAGAGGCTGTCTTTGCCTTATTGTATATTCTTGCCTCCTTTGTCAGAAATAAGGTACCCATAGGCGCATGGGTTTATATCTTGGCTTTCTATCTTGCTCCATTGGTCTGTATTTCTGTTTTTGTGCCAGTACCATACTGTCTTGAACAAGACAAGGGTGTCCACTTTCACCACTATTATTCAACATAGTTCTGGAAGTCCTAGCTACAGCTATCAGAGAAGAAAAAGAAATAAAAGGAACCCAGATCAGAAAAGAAGTAAAGCTCTCACTGTTTGCAGATGACCTGATACTCTGTACATAGAAAACTCTACAGATAGTATCAGAAAATTACTAGAGCTAATCAGTGAATTTAAATTTAGCAAAGTTGCAGGATACAAAATCAATACACAGAAATCACTTGCATTTCTATATACTAACAATGAAAAATCAGAAAGAGAAATTAAGGAATCAATCCCATTCACCATTGCAACAAAAGAAATATCTAGGAATAAACTTACCTAAGGAAACAAAAGAACTGTACACAGAAAATTATAAGACACTAATGAAAGAAATCAAAGATGACATAAACAGGTGAAGAGATATTCCATGTTCCTGGGTAGGAAGAATCAATATTGTGAAAATGACTATACTACCAAATGCAGTCTACAGATTCAGTGTGATCCCTATCAAATTACCAATGACATTTTTCACAGAACTAGAACAAAAAATTTCACAATTCATATGGAAACACAAAAGACCCCAAATAACCAAAGCAGTCTTGAGAAAGAAGAATGGAGCTGGAGGAATCAACCCTCCTGACTTCAGACTATACCACAAAGCTACAGTCATCAAGACAGTATGGTCCTGACCAGGTTCACTTCTGCCGTTGCACTTCCTGTTCTCTTAGCCTGGAATGCTCGTTCCCCGCATACCCACATGACTCATTCTTGGACCGCTTTAGTTCCTAAATGGCACTGCTGTGAGGCCTTCCCTGCAGCCTTTCAGCATTTTCTCTCCTGTTTAATCTTCATAACACTTATTTCCATTCTATCTATATTTTGTCTCTCCAACCTATAGAGTAATCTTCATGAGGGCAGGGATTTTTATCTGGTTTTTATACACTGTGTCACTAGTGCTAGAGCAGCAGTACCTATATAGTGCCTATAACATCCACATAATGGGTACTTGGTAAATATTTGTTGTGTAAATCCTATGATTATAATAATTATAGTTTGTAGTGAATATAACAAAAAAAGTAGACTCATGGATGTAAAGAAGAAACTGTTGGCTGCCAGTGGGGAGAGGAAAAGAGGAGGGGCTATATAAGGTTAGGGGATTAAGAAGACTAACTATAAGGTGCAAAATAAGCTATGAGGATATATTGTACAATACAGGGAATATAGATAATATTTTACAATAGCTCTAAATGAAGTATAACCTTTAAAAATTATGAATCACTATATTGTATACCTATAATTATACATCAGCTATACTTCAAGTAGTTTAAAAATTGCAGTTTGATAAACTTTGCTATTAAATACTAAATTTATGTGAATTATTCCCTGATTTCTTCTGAACTATGCATTTCTGAAGGAAGACTGGCTCAGTTTCCTCAGCTCTGAAAGTCTTTTTTTGTTACCCCACGTAAATTCCTATCACCTGTAATTCTATTTGTTCTCTACCCCATGTATAATCTGTTACAAAGAATATTACATATTTGCATCTCCAGATAGACTCTTAACCTTCCCCAAACTGAATCAATTTTCTATTAGAAATGGTTCTTCCATTTTCACAATACGGAGTCTGATTCATACTTGATTCTCAACTTTTTTCTCTTACTGTCTTCTCAAGTAATAAACAATAAATGCTAATTACAACTGTTATTCTTCAAAATATTGAAATGTTGCTGTAACATGTTTTTTAATATAATCGAACTACTTCACTTTCTCATGTCCCCAGTTCCAACAATACTTTTAAAACTTTTCATTTACAATTTTAAGGCCTACTCTGTATCTCTCCCTCTATTCTTCATTTCTTTCTAAATGCTTTCTGACTCTGTTTGCTCCTGTACTCTGGTATGCACTTAACAGACTTGATACTTTAGTTGCATTTAATAGTTCCCACTGTCCTCTGTGGTATCTCCTGTGTTGACAGGAAGTCTTTCACATCTTTATAACCTGTCTCTGATTACTTCAAGTTCTTTATCCAAGAATATGATGCCCTCAATCCTTCTGGCTTTGCTCATTTTAAAAGAGAATATATGCCATACTACATGACTTCCCAAGACAGATGAAAGCAATATTGTCTCTCCTTACCTATTACCTCACACTTGCCCCCAGTATCTCCTCACATTAAGAATGTAAGCTAGGGGCTTTGGTGGTGGCTCAGTGGTAAAAAATCTGCCTGCCAGTGCAGGAGACATGGGTTCGATCACTGATATGGGACAATCCCACATGCTGCAAAGCATCTAAGCTGTTGTGCCACAACTACCAAGCCTCTGCTCTAGAGCCCAGGAGCTGCAGCTACTGAAACCTGCAAACCCTAGAGTCCATGCTCTGCAACTCAAGAGTAGCCCCTGCTCGCCACAACTAAAGAAAAGCCCATTCAGCGATGAAGACCCACACATCCAAAAGTAAAGTAAATAAATAAATATTTTAAAAAGAATATAAGTGAGATGTAAGCAACTTTCTTAAAAGAGATTTTAAGAAAAAGACATCAAAAGTGCAATATGAGAAAAAAAAGAATGTAAGCTAGAGTGGGGAAAGTTACAACCTGTAGACCAATGATTCTGCTTCATGCTAAAGTTCAAAATGACCTGCTGGGAAAAATTCAACCACTTTTTGTTAGGATTTACTTTATTGTAGTTTTCTTGCTTCAGTTTGTAAGTGTTGGTATGTAATAGAACTTAAGATATCCAAGAAACTAATCTGTTTCAGTTATAGTAGAATGGCAAGTGGTTGTTGGATTCAAATAAATCTTTAAGAAATTATTTAAATAAATTAAAAGGATTGTTAATACTGATCTCTAAAATTCATTTCTTAAGTCTGGGAAAATTGCCTGACCTCCACTACTAAACAGGTTGATGCCTAATCAATCCTACAGGTTATTTTGACTATCACAGGAGAAAGTATTATGTATTTTGAACCCTGCAAACATAGAGGAAGTGATATTATTCATTTGCTCAGACTCTTGCTCTCTTGTTACGTAATTTGCAAACTTTGTTTCCTAGGTGACTAAATAGTTGTTCCCCTTTTTGGGAAAAATCAATCAGAAAGATTGTCAACTTTTTTTCTCATTTTCTTTGTATTTTTAGATTAACAAAAGCAGTGGCATTGTGGAAGCATCACGGATCATGAATTTGTACCAGTTTATCCAGCTTTATAAAGACATCACAAGTCAAGCAGCAGGAGTATTGGCACAGAGCTCTACTTCTGAAGACCCTGATGAAAACTCAGCATCTGTAACATCTTGTCAGGCTAGTCTTTGGATGGGAAGGTAAGCAGTGCATACATGCCATGTTTCTCTTCTTTTCCAACATGCAAACTACTGAAATCACAGTAATATTTTTGCTAATGGTCTCTGTGACTTCTTAAATCACATGACTTTTTGTCTCAGATGGTAATATATCCCAGATCTGCTTTCGGACTATTCTGTGTTTCAGGACATTGTTAGAGTGCCACATTAAAGAAAAATTAAGTGGTTCACACCAGGTAATGTTTCTGTCAACTCAGTTTCCATGAATACTCAACCTGCTTGCATTTAATAACAAGATATATAGTTAATACCCTCTTGTAATATGCATTTAGGATCTTAGACATTCAAAGCCCTTCAAAGAATTAGGTCCAAGAATCTGGTAAAACCATTCCAGTTTTTCTTAAAGGTATCTGACTAATTGGAGCATTAATATTGTAAATATTGGCTCCAGGACTTGGCAGTCCATTCTGGAATGGACAAGTAGTGCACATACTGCATGTACTGAGTTACCAGAAGGAAATGAGGTCAGCCAGCATTTTCTGTGATGGTGCTTGTTTACTCAGGCCTAATATATTATTGTTCTATCTAAACTTTCTTTTCCTTCTCCATAATGCTTTTGGCATGTGAACGCACCCACCTGTTGCCATTTGACAGCCATGACCATAATTTAAATTTGTGAATGCCTCACTGGAAAAAGGCTTACGTGGGTCTAGACATGTTGACATCCTGTCTTATTGTCATACAGGGTAGACAGCACAAATCAGTATTGACAATATCTTTTACCTTAAAGTTAAGAATATGCTTAACAAGAACTTCATTTTTATTGCTCCATTTATGGTTGCATTTTCGGATCCATTCTTAACCACTGGTTTCCAAATACTATGTTGTAGTAAAATTGTATTTTAAATTATTCTTTCCTGTTTGTCTTTAATAGGATTGTTTGGTTTTCTAGGCTTGGGCTGTACAAGTGTTATTGATAAAATGCCAAATGAGTTTTAGAGTATTATAAGTAGCATTTAGGCTTATCTTTCCTGTATTTTGTTAAGTTAATCTTTCAAAGACAGACATCTGATTTTCTGCTTTTTATTCCTTTCCCTCTTCAAAATGATTTTTTTTTTAAGTATTTTGAAAGTTGAAAATAGCATTTAATAGTAAATAGTATTTACTAGGCTCTGGTTGAAAATGAAAGTAATACTTTTTTCTTATTGCAGTCATCTTAATGAGGAAGGTAAGAGTGTTATCCCTTTTCATATGCCCTCTACACTGGGAAACTCAATGCCTAATTGGTAGGTTAGGGCTGCTGCTTGCCTTTGTATATTTTGGGGTTTTGTTTTTGTTTTTTATACCCTGATATACTTAGTTCATAGAAAAATAGATTTTTCAGATTGAGTGGGATCTTGAGAGAGATTTATTTGATTCAACCTTATATCTGGTACCTATTTCTAGTAGTATTTTATATTTACTAAGTACTTGTATTAGGCATTGTGAGGAGTGCTTTACATATATAAACTCATTGTGCTCTGTGCTTAATTGCTCAGTTGTGTCCAACTCTTTGCGACCCCATGGACCTGCCAGGCTGCTCTTTCCATGGGAATTCTCTAGCACAAATACTGGAGTGGGTTGTCATGCCCTTCTCCAGGGGATCTTCCCAAACTAGGAGTCGAACCCAGGTCTCCCACATTGGAGGTGGATTCTTTACTGTCCGAGCCACCAGGGAACCCCTTTTTATAAAACCCATTAAATCACAGCCATCCCAGGGGATTTGGTTCATTGCAGATGCAGCAACTTGAGGTTTAGACAAATGAATGACATGGCTAGAAACTGGTCTAGCGGAGATTCACATTCAGGCCTGTCTGGCAGTACAGCCATGCTCCTAACCTCTGCATTAGTACTCCCTGGTGCATGAAAATCCTGTACTACAGTGCTTCTTAAACTTTGATACTCAAGTGGTTTTGAGAAAAAGCTTGAGATTGTATCAAGCTCTCAGGTGTTGTCACTACTGCTCACCCATGGATAGCACTTTGTGTAGCAAGACTTATATTTAGCCAAGTGGTAGTCCAGCTTGAACATGAACACCTGCAGTTGTGTGGGACTTACTGTCTCAGAAAGACAAGGTTTTTGATACACAAATGGCTTTAATCACTGTGTAATTTTCCCTTTTGCATAATTTTTCTTAGAGCCAAAATCTGGCTCTCCTAAGGCAGCACAGCACAGATTCTAGAACCAAATTGCCTGTGTTCAAATCCTGGCGTTACTTCTTACTGTGTCACTTTGGACAAGTTATTAAACCTCTCTTTACTCAGTATCCTCATCTTTTAAAAGAAGATGACAGTAATAAGGTCTACTTCATAGGACTCGAGAGAGTTAAGTGAATTAGTATATGTAAAATACTTGGAACAGTGCCTGGCTCATAAAAATATGTATCTATAAAAGTTAACTATCATTGTTACTAATTATTACTGTTTTCTACTTATTTCAGTGACAGTACCCTCTGGAATTCCACCAAACAAGTCTGTTCCCTCTCAGCCATCAAATATTTGAACACACTAATCAATTCTCATTGAGCCTTTTGTTCCCCAGGATAAACCTCCCCAGTTCCTTCAGCCTTTGTTTATATTGGTCTCTTCTATATCCCAGAGGCTTTCCTGGATGACCTTTTATCTGTAAATTTGTTTTTCAGAGTAGGGGGACAGAGAACTGAATTCTCTATTCTACAAGTGGTCTAATAAGGACAAACAGCAAGACTTTCTCCCTCCTTCCTCTGGTAACTGTACTGCTAGGAAGGTAGCAGAAAACTCAAGTGAACATAGTATGTCTTCCACTGGCTGCTTCTGTATCCTTTTTTCTTTCTTTTACCTCCATCCAGAATGCTGTTCTCTGTGGCCCTCTGCCCTCAGCTTTAAACTCTAACCTTCAAAACCGTGTCTGTCACTCTTTATGGATTCAGTTATATTCTTTGCTGCTGACAACTAAGTCCACATCCTTAGACATAAACTGTAAGCTCCTCAAGAGCAGAGACCCCAGTTCTTCTGGATCTGGCACAATACATAGCACCTTGTTGTTCAGTCGCTGAGTTATGTCTGACTCTTTGTGACCCCTTGAACTGTAGCACGCCAGGCTTCCCTACCCACTGTCTCCCGCAGTTTGCTCAAGCTCATGTCCTTTGAGTCAGTGATACCATCCAACAGAGGTATCTCATCCTCTGTTAACCCCTTCTCCTCCTGTTCTCAATCTTTCCCAGGGTCAAGGTCTTTTCCAGTGAGTCAGCTCTTCCCATCATGTTGGCCAAAGGATTGTAGCTTCAGCTTCAGTATCAGTCCTTCCAGTGAATATTCAGAGTTGGTTTCCTTTAGGATTGGTTGGTTTGATCTCCTTGCTGTCCAAGGGACTCTCAAGAGTCTTCTCCAGCTCCACAATTCAAAAGCATCAGTTCTTTGGCACTCAGCCTTCTTTATGGTCCAACTCTTACATCTGTACATGACTACTGGGAAAACCATAGCTTTGATTATACAGACCTTTGTTGGCAAAGTGATGTCTCTGTTTTGTAATATGCTGTCTGGGTTTGTCAAGGGCTTCCCAGATGGCACTAGTGGTAGAGAACCTGCCTGCCACTGCAGGGGATATGAGAGACTTAGGTTCAATCCCTGGTTTGGGAAGATCCCCCTGGAGAGGTCATGGCAATCCATTCCAGTATCCTTGCCTGGAGAATCCCATGGCCAGAGGATCCTGGCAGGCTATACAGGCCATGGGGTCACAAAGAGACAAACACAACTGAAGTGACTTAGCACGCACAGGTTTGTCATAGCTTTTCTTTCAAGGAGCAAGCATCTCTTAATTTCATGGCTACAGTCACCATCCACAGTTTTTGGATGCCCAAGAAAATAAAGTCTGTCACTGTTTCTACTTTTTCCCTATCTTTTTGCCATGAAGTGATGGGACCAGATGCCATGATCTTAGTTTTTTGAATGTTGAGTTTCAAGCCAGCACTTTCATTCTCCTCTTTCACCCTTATCTAGAGTTTCTTCAGTTCCTCTTTAGTTTCTGCCATTAGAGTGGTATCATCTGCATATCTGAGGTTGTTGCTATTTCTCCCAGAAATCTTGATTCCAGCTTGTGATTCATCCAGCCCAACATTTCACATGATGTACTCTGCATATAAGTTAAATAAGCAGAGTGACAATATACAGCCCTGACATACTGCTTTCCTAATTTTGAACCAGTCAGTTGTTCCGTATCTGGTTCTAACTGTTGCTTCTTGACTCACATACAGGTTTCTCAGGAGACAGGTAAGGTGGTCTGGTATTCCCATCTCTAAGAATTTTCCACAGTTTGTTGTGATCCACAGTTTGTTGTGATAGTCAAAGTCTTTAATAAAGTCAGTGAAGCAGAAGTAGATGTTTACCTGGAATTCCCTTGTTTTTCCTGTGATCCAACAGATGTTGGTGATTTAATCTCTGGTTCCTCTGCCTTTTCTAAATCTAGGTTGTATATCTGGAAATTCTCAGTTCACATACTGCTGAGCTGAGCTTGAAGGATTTTTAGCATTACCTTGCACCTAAAAGGCATTTAAACATTGAAATAAATAGATATAGAAAAATTAAAATACATTAGATCCACACCCATCTAGGTTTTCATTCAGTTTCCCAATTTCAATTCAGACGCTGCCCTCTTTTATGCATTGTTCAAGCATAGCATTTACTCTATTACCACAAACTAATGATTTGTCTTTTGTAATGCCCCTTAGACCAGGCTTGATTATGTCCCAGGTGAATCATTGAAATAAGGATCTAATTGGTGTTCCTCTCTCTAGACTGTCCCTCATACTGCTCTCCCAGTTGATCTCCTAAAGCATTATTTCCAATGGGGGTTCACTTTCCCCTTGATTAAACTCTGTCAAAACAAGTTTAAACTTACTGTTTTGACGTACAAGGATCAGATTATCTCTGTTATACTTAGGCAGTCTTTCATACCAGCCTGCTTGATAGACACTTTTTTCCATACCTGTTTAGCTTTGTTTATTCACATTGAATGTCCTCTATCGAAATCCTGTCATTTTTCTACCTTATCTTTCTGAAAAATTTGAAATATACTTTCTTCCTTCTTTACTTAGCACTTACTACACATAATGCACATTTGACATTCACTTATTTTCTATATACAAATTGACAGATTTTAAAGTACTATATCAGTGTCTTACATACAGTGTATAAGCACAGCTGGGAATAAAAACATGTTAGAGGTAGTTTCTGCCCTTAAGAAGCTTATAGTCTAATGGCTATACTTCGGAACAGTTAATTTTTGTATAATTATAAAAGCAATACATAATTGATGAAGAAAACCTAAACATTACAGAATAGCACAGAGATTAAAAGCAAATTTAAATCACTTCAAGAAATATGTATTGAGAACCTAAGACAAACTCCTTATGAGTTTACAGTTTATGGATAGACTAACCAATAAACAGCCAATAAAATGCAGTATTTAAGACCTTTAGTTGAGGAAAATGTTGGTTTTTGAGAGCATAGAGAAGATGGTATCTTGAGCTGAGTAACTGAGGTTGGAGTTTGCCAAACACCACATGCAAAGGCACTTGGCTCACTCAGGGGCATTCTCAGTTGTGGCTGGAGTAGAAGGCTGACCATCTCTTTTCTTCCTGAGATGAAAGAGCTCTTTGAGGACAGATACTTTGCATTCTTTCTCTTTCACATTTCATATAGCACCTGAACCTTAAGACTAAGCTATTCTTTCATTTATATGCCCATTAGCTGCAGCAGCATAATATATAGACCCTGATAGCAGGGCCCATATTTTAGAGAGCTTTATATCCTGCATGGTGAATAACTCATATATTGGTTGAATTCATTTATAAAAATTCAATATGATTAAAATGGGCTAAGTTATTTTCAGAAAGATCTGAATATTTCTAGTTTTAATCCATATTTTCTTTTTAACCATCTCAGGACTTATCTTTTATCCAGTCTTTTCTCTATGAAATTTCCCCTTTAGTACTTCCCTAGTATGTTTGCTATCCCTAAAATATAGGTTAATTTACTCTGATACTGCATGAGTCATGTTGTGCTTTATGTTGAGAGCACATACATCCTTGATTACACTTTTCAAGCCAATGGAAACAAAGTTTACAGCACAGTGACAACAGAGAATATCACTGCTCCAGCTTATTTTTCACATTGCAGGGTAAAGCAGCTGACTGACGAGGAAGAGTGCTGTATTTGTATGGATGGTCGAGCTGACCTCATCCTGCCCTGTGCTCACAGCTTTTGTCAGAAGTGCATTGACAAGTGGTAAGTAGTCTGCTGCCTGCATGGGGTAAGCCAAGGTCAAATGGGAAAGTGTATATGAATACACTTCAGAAAATGCAAATATATTGTAGTTAACATAAGAGACTTTGTTCTTTAATATTTTGGATTTTATGACATGCCTCCTACTTCTTAAAATATTTTATACATAGTTTATAAAATGTGAGGATGTAGCTTAATTTTGACAATTTACTTTTGCTGTAAAGAGATTTGTGCCTGATTAGAGTCTAGAATCAAACATTTTTCCTTTCCTTCCATTTTTCTCCTCTTTTCTACATTTTCCCTCCATATGTCATTAGAAAGAATAATATTAATCCTTGAGTATTGAATATTGGACCTGAGGAGAAGAGAACTTTAGAGAATGACTAGTCAAGCTCATTATTTTACAAAATAAGAATCAAGCATTTAAGAAAATTTATCACTGACATACAGTAAACTATATATATTTAAAGTACAATTTGATATATGTATATACTCATAAAAATCATCCTCACAGTTTAGATAATGAACAAATCCATCACCCCCAAGTTACCTCATGCCCACCGTAAGGTCTCCTTCCCCCAATCCCTTGTCCTAGTCCCCAGACAACCACTAATATGGTTTCCGTCACTCACTGTAAAATAATCTGGATGTCCCATACAGTATATACTCTTTTTTGGTCTGGCTTCTTTCAATTCATTATAATTTTTTCAAGATTTACTTTGTTGTAGTATGTATCAGTAGTTTCTTGCTTTTTATTGCTGAGTAGTATTCATTGTACGAATATTCTGCAGCTACTTTATCCATTCACCTGTTGATGGACATTGGGTTGTTTTGAATTTTTGGCTATTACAAATAAAGCTAAAAAAAAAAGCTAAAAAAAAAAAAAGATACACTATGGTTGTGATAAAAAATAAATAAATAAATAAATAATTAAAAAAAAAAACAAAGCTGCTGTATAGATTTGTGCTCAGCTGTTTTTATGGATGTACATTTTGGCTTTTTTCTTGGATAAATAGCTACAAGTGGGATGGCTAGATCATATGGTAGGTGTATGTTTAACTTTTTAAGAAACTTGCCAGTTGTTTTCCAAAGTGGTTATGCCATTTTACACTCCAGTGTATAAAAGTCCCAGTTGCCCTACAGCCTTGCCAGTACTTGGTATTTGTCATTCTAATTGTAACCATTCTAACAGATGTGTAGTGGTATCTCATTGTGGTTTTAATTTGCCTTTCCCTGCTGACTGGTGGTGCTGAACACTTTTCTTATGCTAATTTCCCATCTATATGTATTTCATCTTGTGGTGAAATATTCATTCAGATTCTTTTGCCCATTTCTTTTTAAATTGTATTTTATTTTTAATTGGAGGATGGTTACTTTACAATGTTGTGATGGTTTCTGCAATGCATCAGCATGAATCAGCCCCAGGCATACATATGTCCCCTCTCTTAAACCTCCCTCACCTCCCTCCCCATCCCACTCTTCTACGTTGTCACAGAGCACCAGTTTGAGTTCCCTGTGTCATAGAGCAGATTCCCACTGTTTTACATATGGTAATATATATATTTCAGTACTACTTTCTCGATTTATCCCACCCTCTTCTTCCCTGACTGTGACCAAAAGTCTATTCTTTATGTCTGTGTCTCCTTGCACTGTTTACAACAGCTAGGACGTGGAAGCAGCCTACATGTCCATCAATAGATGAATGGATAAAGAAGTTGTAGTACATATACACAGTGGAATATTAGTCAGCTATTAAAAAGAAAGAAGTTGAGTCAGTTCTAATGAGGTGGATGAACCTAGAGCCTATTATACAGAGTGAAGTAAGTCAGAATGAGAAAGACAAATACCATATATTAATGCATATATATGGAATCTAGAAAGATGGTACTGATGATCCTACTTACCCATTTTTTTAATTAGTTGTTTTTGTATTAAGTTTTGAGAGTTCTTTATGTATTATGGATACATGCCCTTTATCAGATATATAATTTGCAAATATTTTCTCCCACTCTGATTTCTTTTCATTCTTAAGAATGTCTTTCAAAGAGTAGAAATTTTTAATTTTTATGAAGTCCAGTTTCTCAATTTGTGATTAATGAATAATCATTTTGGTGTCATATCTAAGAAATCTTTCTTTAACCCAAGGTCACAAAGATTTTCTTCCATTTTTCCTTCTAAAAGATTTATTGTTTTTAGGTTTTACATTTAAGTCTATGATCCATTCTGAGTTAATTTTTGTATGGTGTGAGGTATGGATCAAAAAATTTTTATTTTATCCTTAATGGCTTTCCAGTTGCTCCAGCACAGTTTTTTAAAAAGACTGTGTTTTCTTCTCTAAAATTGCCTCTGCTCCTTTGTTGAAAATCAGTTGTTAAAACACAGGTGAGTATTTCTGGACTCTTTTTCTGTTCCATTGACCTATTGTCTAATTCACACCAATATCATACTACTTTGATTAGTGTAGCTTTGTAAGCCTTAAAATCAGGGAGTATTAGTCCTCCAACTTTGTTCTTTTTCAAAGTTGTTTTGGTTTTTCTAGATCTTTTGCATTTCAGTGTGAATTTTATAATCAGTTTGCCAATTTCTACCCAAAAAAGGCTATAAGAATTTTGATTGGGATTGAGTTAAATAATTTGGGGAGTGTTAAGTTGGACATAGTGACTAAACAATAATAAAACTTCTTAACAATATTAAGTCTTCCAACCCATATCTCACTGTTTCTCCATTTATTTGAAAGTTAAAGTAAAGGTCATTCAGTCGTGTCCAACTCTTTGTGAACCCCATGGACTATACAGTCCATGGAATTCTCCAGGCTAGAATACTGTGGGTAGTCTTTCCCTTCTCCAGGAAATCTTCCCAACCCAAGGATCAAACCCAGGTCTCCCACAGGTCTTCTTTAATTTCTGTCATCAATCATAGTTTCCAGTGTTGCATATCCTTGACAGATCTATCACTAAGTATTTTATAGTTTTTATGTTACTTTAAATGTTATTTTTAAATTTCAATTTTTGATTATTATATTTCTATATATTAAAAATAAGCAGTTTTGTGTATCAGTCTTGTATCCTGCAACCTTAATAATTTATTTATAAGCTCTTTTTTTATAAATTCCATAGAATTTTATTGAATGACAGCAAAACATTTTTTGAGAGATTTTTTCTGGTTATAAAATTTTAGACTGATAATAGTTTTTCTCTCAGTACTTTAATGACATTGCTTCACCATCTTCTTGCTTACAACATTTTCTATGAGAAATCTGCTCTCATCCTCATCTTTTTTCCTCTGTAGGTAATGTGCCTTTTTTCCTCTGGCTGTTTTTGAGGGTTTTTTTCCCCGTTCATCTCTGATTTTCAGCAGTTTGATTTTGATGTGCCTTAGTTTTCGTCATGTCTCTTGCACTTAAGATTCATTGAGCTCCTTGGATTTGTAGGAGTATAGTATCATGAGTTTTGGAAATTTTTCAGCCAGTATTTTCTTAAACATCTTTTTCTGTTCTCTTTTGTCCCATCTCCTTCTGGGACTCCAGCCACTGATGTACTAGACCACTTTTGCACAGTTCACAGATGCTATTTTCCTTCTTTTTTGAGTCATTTTCTCTGTGTTTAATTTTGGATAATTAATACTGCTATATCATTTCAAATTCTCTGATCTTTTTTTCCTGCAGTCTGTTGCCATTAATCCCACCCAGTGTATTTTTTATTAAGATATCTTAGCTCTCATCCAGAAGTTCAAGTTTTTAATATCTTCCAGTCTCTGCTTAATATGTGGTCTTTCCTCTCGCTTTTTAAGTATATAGAATATAGTTATCATAACCTTTTATTTTCTTGTTGCTGATTCTGATGTATCTGTCAGTTCTGGATTCGTTTTGATGGATTGTTTTCTTCATTTTGGGTTGTATTTTTATGCTTCTCTGTGTGAATGGTAGTTCTTAGCTGGGTTCCAGACATTGTGATTTTTTACCTTTTGGAGTACTGGATATTTTTGTATTCCTATAAATATCCTTGAGCTTTGTTCTAGAATATAGTTACTTGGAAACAGTTTGATCCTTTTGAGTCTTGCTTTTATGGCTTGTTAGGCAGGACCAGAGTGATGTTTAGTTTAAAGCTAATAATGCCCTTGCTGAGGCAAGCCTTCAGAGTACTCTACCCGATGCTCCATGAATTACAAGGTTTTCTACTCTGTCTGGTAGGAACAGGCACTGTCCAGGCCCTTGTGAGCTTTGGTTACTGTCCCCTCAGATCCTTTTGAGTGATTCCTGGGCTTGGGTAGTTTCCTGACTTGCACACCCTGATCATTACTCTGCTGAATATATCTGCAGGGACCGTCAGTAGACTCCGGGATATACCCTTTGTGTAGCTTTCTCCTCTCCAGCGCTTTATGCTAAGACCTAGCTGTCTTGGCGTCCTAAGATTCTCTGCTCTTGTCTTGTCAACTCAGGGAGTCTACCAGGCTCCATCTCAGTTTCCCCTGCTCTCTCTGTGGCATGGAAACTCTCAGAGGCAGTGAGCTGGGTAATTATAGGGCTCACCTTGTTTTGTTTCCCATCTCTCTGGGATTATAATCCTTTCATCTTGTGTTTAGTGTTGAAAACCATTATTTCATGTATTTTGTCCAGTGTTTTAGTTGTTTTAAGTGGGAAGATAAGTCTGGTCCCTTGGCCAGAAGCAGAAATCGACTGTTTTAAAATTGTGACTTGTGCACAGAAGAGCACAGATAATTATCTTAAAAACTATCTCTGAAGAACCAGAAATGAATCTGAACAATATATGCCAGCTCTACTTTCACATTTAGTTTTTAGAACAGATTTCTAAATTTTTGCACAGAAGCCAAAGAGCAGTTGATATAATTTAATTACTTTGGTTTCAGATTTCACTGAGCAATAAAGAGAAAAATATTTTCCCTCTGTGACATGTTTCTGGCTCAAATATGCTATTTTTTTAATTTCCAAAGTAATGTTTGACAAGAGGAAAAAACCCCTTTGGAAAACATAATCTTATTTAAGTGATTATATATAAGCTCTTTCCTCCCCCCAAAATTATTCTGCATGTAAAGTTCATTTTATTTTAAGCCTTGAATGCTTCCATTCCATTGTTTATAGCAGCAAAAGATAGGAAAAAACCTAGATGTCCTTCCTTCTATGGGAGATAAGTTAAATGAATTATGGCCTATCCAAACAGTGTATGTTTATTTTGAATAGGCAGCTCTAACATGTGCTGATACTTGTAAAAAAGAGCAGTGATGTGTAGACACATACAAACTTGGTCATGGCTAGTCTGTCTCTAGAAGAATATATAAAAAACTGAATAATATATAAGAAGCTGGTTAACAGCAGTTGCCTCTGGGGATAATAAAGATTAGGGTAGGAGGAAGAGATGTAGTTTTCACTATACACTTTTACACTATTTCCTTTAAAAAAAATGTACTACATTTCAAATTCAGTGTTTTAAACAGAAAAAGAAAACAAACTATTCTTTATTTGATTTCTCTAATAGGAGTGATCGACACAGGAATTGCCCTATTTGTCGCCTACAGATGACTGGAGCGAATGAATCTTGGGTGGTGTCAGATGCACCCACTGAAGATGATATGGCCAACTATATTCTTAACATGGCTGATGAGGCAGGCCAGCCCCACAGGCCGTGACCTCCCGGTGGAGTGTTCCATTGCTGGTGTGGGCTACACATACTGCAGTCATGGGGAGAGGGCAGGGGTGTTAGCACAGACACAGCAATTCCCCCCACCCTCTTATTTTTGCTGTTCTGACAGTTTGTCCTTTTATTTTGATAAACTTTCCCTGTCTTCCACTTGTGATAAATTACAATTTGCTACCGTTTTAGACCATATTTTCCTATTATTTATCTGTTCTAATACATATTAGGACTAATTGCTCTTGAATTCTTTGCTGAGTTAACAACATTTCCAGGGGCTTCTGAAACACTTACTTTTCAGGGCAAGAGTATTCTGGAATCTATTTAGTTAGGTTTAAAATAAACCTTGAATTTTAAAAAGTTGTAGCCATCTGAGAGAAAATCTTAACTGAAAATGTATAATACATCAGAGTGCATGTTACTACTTAAATTAGTCTTTCCTGCTGGGATCTAAGGAGTATGTATGCCCCCTTGTGGTTGACTATTGCTCTTTTAATAGTTTTTACTTGAAGTAATCTGTAATTATTTCATAACCTTAACAATGTGTTTTGGAACTACATGTTTTTTAACTTCAGTGTTTTTTTCCCCCATGCTGTGTAATATGGGTGAAGACTATGAATTAGGGCAGGACTTTGCCTTGTAAATGGATTTCTGCTGGGGAGTCTTCTTGGCTATTCTAGAAATGCTTTCCTACAGCTGGGAAACTGTTCTAAATAGCTTTTGGTAATACTTATTCATCCTGGAGATTCAGTTGGAGGTTTTTCTTCATCAGGGACCCTAAATTTTATGTCCAAATTATGATAAGTCTGTATGGTGCTTTTATTTTCTTAATTTGAAGGCATCTTCCTGAGGTCCCAGAGTCTTCAAATTTCTTAGATTAAGAAAATAGTATGTAGCCTTTTAACCATATGTACACAAAAACCCCTGAAAATTAGGAGATAACTTGACTTTCTGTTTCACTGCATTTCATTTGAAACGCCAGGAAAGAGTATAGATATGATGTTCAGTAGCACTTGAGCCACTTTTTAAAAATTTTGTTTATAAAGTAAAATTTTATTTTATGCTACACACTAACATTTCAGCATATAACTAACTAGGGCCTGATGTCTTTAAAAAGTGTTTTAACATTCCACATAGTTTTCTGATTTATTATTGGTATGTTACAAATATTACTATTTTCTGAAGTACCAAAGCATACAATTTAAGTTGCTGCTTATTGACGGCAGAATTTTTGGATACTGGGGACTTTAATCAGAGTGCAAATTAAGTAATTTTTAGGAAAAATGTCTGACCAAATGTAGCTTGGATTTTACCCACTAATACAATACTAATAATTGGTTGACTTTCATGATGGAGGCAGCTGTTTATACAAGAGGAGTACTGGGGTCTCTGTCCTGTTGACCTGGCAGTGCACTTGATGGCTGTGTGACCTGACAAAGCCCCTTCCTCTGGTTTGCAGGCTCTTTAGAAACAGACTTTATCTGTGGTGTTCACACTTTCTTTCAGTAGCAGAACTGTTTTTTTTTTCCAAGTAAAAAATCTTACTCAAAATCCCTACACACACATGCTGCGCACACACACACGCGCACACACAATACCCGCCTACCCCGACCCTGCTCTATCATTTTCTCATTATACATTTCCTTATATAAATTTATGTACCACAGTAACTAAATATTTATGAAATCAGCCAACAAAAACATGTTATTACACTGGTGATTACAAGTATATAGGAATTTGATGAGTAACACGGTTGCATGATGGGACTTTTTTTTTTTTTCCCCAAAAAAAATTCAATACAAGTCAAAATTCAGACCTCTGATTCTCCTCCGTAGGTTCCTCAGTACTCCATGGAACATACTTTGAAAACTTGAAGATAAAAGTCTTTAATGTTCCATGGAGTACTGTCTTTATGGATTAGATTTGCTGAGTCTCATTCAGATTGCCCAATTTAAGAATGTTTCTGAAAATGAATAGTTTCTTTACAGATTTTTTTATCTTTCCAGGTATAGCCAATGATTTTATCCCCCAGAATCCTTTGCCTTTCAAGGAATTAGTTTTCATAGTGAGCCCAGTGACTTGATGTTGCCCAAACCTTTTTATTTTCCAATATAAGCTCCAAGACGCTAACTGATCTACTGTGAAATATATTTTTACTAGCCTTATCAAATGAGCACAGTTTTTTGCTCACTCCATTAAACTGGTTGATAATTCTTTAGATGTGAATGTTAGGTAGGTTCTACTGTAATAACTAATTGTAAAAGTTGTAAATTTGTTTAATGGATGAAATGTGTACTTTTTGTATTCTGTACAGCTTGTCTTTTTTAAATATTAAGTACTTAAATGCACTTACTATGATAGGAAATATGTGTGCCTTCTAGGATTTATGAAGCTGTTTCATGAACTGTTAAGAAATTTGTAAGTATAAAGTTTCCCTGTCTTAATAACAAAGGGTTTACTCATAATACTGTAGAACTTTAGTTTGAAAAAATGGATTTGACTATGTACTGAATTTAGAAGTTGAAGATAATAGTATATGTTTTGTTCTTGGGGCAAACTGACGTATTGTGCAATAAATAATCTTTAGCAAGTAAATTTTAGGTAATTGAGATTTTTTTTTATCATGTAGTTTCTCGTTTTTATATAACAAGTGTTTATATTCCTTAGAGGACTGTTTTGTGTTGTGTTCTGGCAGATTGTGATGTTTTTGTGCTATGTTTTAAAACACTTCAAATTAGACTCGATTTACTTATACCTAATATAGGTAATAAGGCTGCTTGAACAGTGATTTTTATCATTGAGAAGTTGGATTCATTAAAAGGCAGTCCAAAGAATTTGTACTTTTAACTGTTTTTTTTTTTTTTTTGTCATTAAGTCCAGCTTACTTTCTCTATCTAGGAGTAAGAAAGCTACTTGGAGATTAGGGAAATCAGGTGATCACCCACATTTATAAAGGGCATTTACAATGACAATATAATATAAACAGCAAAATATGTTCATTTGTTTTCATGTCTTTCTGTTACCCTACTGGATAGTAAAAATAATAAAATACTTCACCCTGTGGTGGTTTTGATATTTTACCTTTAGATAATTTCTAAGATAAAAGAGTAGAATTGGAGAAGCAGGTTAGAATCTTGGTGCTGAGAATGGGAAAGCCATTTATAAGGAGTAGCAGTTCATAATTAATGTGCATCATCATGGAGAAGTACACATTTTGATGTCAAAGACATAAAAGCCCCCTCAGAGATTTATTTTTACAATCTTGCAGCTGTTTATAGTCTAGTCTAACTCTGGCATACTCTAGCTCCCTAATAAGATGTTTCTTTAGAGGTTGAAGGTGTAAAACTTTTCAAGGAACTATGTCTGATAAGTGTTCCTTTTATTGCAGTTAGTTATACCTGTTTTTTATAAGTCATAGTTTTTAGGTAGAGAATACCTAGGTATATTACCAGTGTATCACCTTCAGTTGCATCTGTGATCTCTCAGAAAATGATCAAAATATTATTTCACTATCATGGCACTCAGAAACAAGAGAAAGCCATAGGGATGTGCTTTTAACTCTGCTTTATCCAAGGTAAGACAAAGTAAAGGTGCAGGACAGGCCTTGGTAAACACCACCCCAGGAGCTGTGATTGATTTTTATGAGGCACAGAACAATAACATTGATCATTTCAACAGTGCAGTTTCAAGTAACACTTAATGTGAACTTGAGCCCTTTAGAATAAGCATGTCTCAAAAACCATTCTGCTAGAAACGTGGGCTAGTGTACAATTGGCTTTGATTCTAACTGTGATCACAAAAGAGAATTCACCCTAAAAAGGCCAATTAGGTTGATGATCTATTACATTGTGCTATAGAAAAACGTATCTGAAAAGCTTGCAGGTCAGGTAAAATCTAACAGGTGTTGACTGAACAGACTAGAGATATATCCAGGGAAAAGGAAATGACCATGTGAGACTTTACTCATGAACTGTTACAGCAGAAGTTAGAAAAAAAGAGCAAAAGTTTCACTCCTGGGTTTTGCAAGCTTCAGTTCAAATTTTTGAGTTTTCCTAATGAATGTCATCCATATCTGAATCTTGATTCAGAAAAGATAAATTAGTAATTATCATTGATAGCTTTTCATGATGCCTATATCTTTTCTTTAAAACTCAAAGATTTGCCTAAAATAGTTTAAAACTGTTGAGCCACAGTCCTGACAGACTTTATTTAATAATTAAATGCTTGATACATATAAAATGACAATAAAAACTGTAAAATACTTATGTTCAGGCAAATGTATACAAATGGCTTTTCAAAAATAATGAGTGCCTAAGATAAATACTTGGTTTTCATTTAGTTTCACGGTTAGCTATAAGATAGCATATGTTTGCCTCGTAAAAAAACTGTATTTATTGTTCCGTATGCTAAGTTGACCAGTGGAGGGGATAATCATTATCAAATGACAAGACAACCTAAAGCCAGGTAAGCATCTTCACAGACAAAAATAGTGTTCTTCTAACTCTGTAATGATTCACAAGGGCTTACTCTAGTCTACATTTGCCTATAGAGATAGACAAGAAGGTCCTTGAGCAGCCTCTTGAGTTCCAGGAGCATACAACCTTAAAAAATTTCCAAAAGAGGAAATTCATTCAGCTTTATATAATATACATTTATTGAGCACCTACTATGTACCAGGCACTAGTAACACAGATGAAGAGTACATTGGTAAAGCTTAAATTCAGACTGGTCTTTAAAAATGCTTTCTGCCTGGCCCCTGGGACCACATATATGCTGAAGAGGTCTGCGTATTAGGTAAAGGAGACATTTCACCTTGGGGGGCAGAAAATGCACCAAGTTACAGTTATTAAAAAAAATTCTAAATTTGTCAGGCCTGAAAGAATAGTGGGGAAAGGACTAGATTAGGATTAGGAAAACCTAGTTCTGATCCTATTACTTATTAGAGCTGTGTGACCTTAAACAGATTTCACTTCTGTGACCCTAGCTGTTCATAAGTAAAACGATACTCGGGCTACAATCACAGAATATTAGAGCCAAAAGGAACAGAGGTCATCTAGTCCTGTGCTTTTCAAAGTCCTTAGTTCAAATGTAAATACGTAGAAGCCCCAGTATAAAACCGATGAAAGCTGAGTCACCTTGGAGTAAAAGCAGCACCTCAGAGCCTCAACCCCCTTCTCATTCCCTGCCCTGAAGTGGTCCAGGAGCTGAGCTCACAGAACACCACTGAAAATCACTCATCTGATCTAAACCTTCCCCTTTCAGATGAGGAAACCAAGACAGAATAGGAGTGATGGCTGTGATACCAATATTTGGCTTCCTAAATATGAAGGGAGGAGGGCTAAATAGTTTTAAAACTCATTTAAAAAAAAAAATGCAAAGAAGGAAGTTTTCTAAATTCTCTCAAAGTAGCTCCTTTTTGAAAGGGAGCTTTGAAGCAGATTTTAAGGCAGCCAGCCCATGAGAGGCTGAAATGAACAACTACCAACAAGTCTGCAGGGTTTATAGAGAGGACTATGGCAGAAAATCACATATACTTCACATCAGTGGGCACTGGACCATGTAAGATCCTGGCCCCCACAATGTAAGCATTAGCACTTTGAAGAGGAACATTTGAAAAATTAGGAATTAGTTCAGACAAGTGTCCAGCTCCCAGATCCCCAAGGAGGAGTCACCATCTATTACTCAAAAATATTAACAGAAACTGGCATGAAGTGAAGTGAAGTCACTCAGTCGTGTCTGACTCTGCGACCCCATCGACTAGCCTACCAGGCTTCTCCGTCCATGGGATTTTCCAGGCAAGAATACCAGAATAGGTTGCCATTTCCTTCTCCAGGGGATCTTCCCAACCCAGGGATCGAACCCAGGTCTCCCGCATCGCAGGCAGACACTTTACTCTGAGCCACCAGGGAAGCCACTGAAATGGGCATGTTAGACCTTAAAGTGAACAGTGCAACCAAAAATCACTAGTTTGAAAGTTCTTCAGCAGTATCCTCTCCATGGAGGAAAGTCCTAGTTTGGTATCTTGACCACTGTTAATCACGGCAAACTTGAAATTAAACCAAAAAGTTAAAACACGTGTCCAACACTCGACTAGTTGGTCAGGGCTGTGATCTCTTCTGATTTCATGGCATCAGACAGGAAGCTGAGCTCATTGCACAGGGTCTCGTATCGGAATGCCATCCGGATCTGAGCAACATTTGTCTTTCGAATATCATTTCCTTCAGGTCCTTCTTTATAGTAATTTTGTCCCAGAAATTTTTGCTTTTCCTATGGACCAAGAGAAATACAAATGAAACAATATACCTTATATTCACTTTCTGTATCCACATGGCAGCTCAGACTTAGCCATACCAAATCAGGCTATTCCTCCAAAGCAGGTCCTCCATCAAGACATCTTTCCTCACAGAGCTGTTACAAAATTCCTCCTGCCTTCCTGTCCTCAAGGATGTCACCCCAATAACCACATTCAGTGCTTTCATTTCCAACTGTGCTTTCCTTGATCAGAAAGACAAGAACTATAAGAGCCGTTGGCAATGAAGGTGAAGGCGTGAAGATTCTAGAAGTCTCTCCCGAGAGCTGACAAGGGCACACAGATGTGCCTGGGGACAACCAGTCCAAGGAACCAAGTCCCCAGAAAATGAATCTTGAGCCTTAACTCTCATCTGCATCATCCAACAAGAACAGCACAATGCAGCTCTCTCCCTATACCACTGACCCTGCCCAGGGGAGCTGCCCAGGGACACAGACACCCTCTGGAGCAGCGGTTCTCAACCCTGGCTCCGCATCAGAATCACCTAGGGAGCTGATAAAAAAAGAGTGATGTCTGGGTCCCATTCCTAGAGTTTTCTGTTCAATCTAGGTACTGTTCAGCTATTTGAGAAGCACTGAGTGCTTATTATGTGCCAGAGTCTAATTCAGACCCCAGGGATGTAATGCTGAACTTATATTCTGGAAGGCAGGGCAGAAAAACATATGACTATATAATGGCAATGTCAGTAGTAATAAATGTTATGAAAAAAAAAAAAAAAACAGACTTAAGGGATGGATAACAAGGGCAGGTTTGTGGCTACTATAGAATGAGTGATCAGGGAAGGCCTCTCCAAGAAGGTGACATGTGAGCAGAGGTCTGAAAAAGTCCTCAGAGCAGCCATGAAAATTCACGAGTTTTCCCCAGTGGTCTCCCCTAGAATGTGGCAGAGACCCTGCTTGTTTCATCCATCCACAGTGGCAGGGCTGAAAAAACGCCTGGCACACAGCAGGCATCTGACGTACGGTGTGGAAAGGACGAGTACCTGGTGCGAGAGGCCGCTCTGCAGCACACTGTTCCTGGCGATCTCACACAGGTCACATGTGCTCAGCTTCCACACTTGAGCCGCAATTGCGTATTCTTCCATAAGCGCTTCCTAGATTCCCCCCAGAGGAAACGTTAGATGGGAGTCTGTCCATTTCAACGATTCACGTATTTCCCAAGCTAGGAACATCAGACCAACACTGCGGATTTCATTTTTCCTTAAGAACTGGCACATGGACAATAAAACAACATCCCCCTCCCCCTAAAATCACAAACTCCCAAGATCTTTTTTGTGTGAAAGTTCAGGTAACCAAAGACAGAAATATCAAAGAACACCTACAGATATCTGTTGACCAGCAGATGTTCAAGGCCCTGCGCCCAGGACTAGGGGTGCCAGCCTGCTCTCCTGTGCCTATCTCCCTGTCATACACACTTTTAATACCCACTCTGCAGCCTTGCTTTGTAGTTAACACTTTTTCTTAAGATTGTCCAAAATAAAAGTTAATCTGAGTAAAGTACTAACAGAGATGGAGCATTAATTAGGAATGAGAAGTGGTCAAGGATCAGTAGTGAGATAGTGTAAGCCTGGGAGGATTTAAGCTTGAGCTGTGCTTTCACTTTCTCAGTTGTGAAATATTTCACATTTATCACAAGCCCTGTATCACCTCTGCCACATCATTGCCTCTGTATCCTAGAGCAGTGGTTCTGAAAACACGGTCTCAGGATTCCTAAGGGTCCCCAAGGGTTTTGGAAAGGTCCTCCCTTTTCAAACTATGTATTTATTTTGTGAGGCAAGATTTCTTCATGCACTTTGGTAAAATTAACTTGTCACAACAGATTGACTGCAGAAGCAGAGATGAGAATCCAGCTGTCTTCTATCAACCCAGACATTAAAGAGATTTGCAAAAATGTAAAGCAATGCCATTCTCTATTTTTTTATCAGAGTTTGTGGAAATATGGTTATTTCTCATAAAAATTGCTAACTGTGTTAACATTTCATGATTTATTAGTGTTATTTTTACGTGAGTTAATATTTTTCAATTTCACACAGTTAATTTTCGCTAGTTACAAGGCACGTGAACCTCAGCTCTCTGAGAGCCTCAGTTCCTCATTATATAAAGGGGGCTTGAGCTCAGAGGCTTCCCTGGTGGCTCAGTGGTAAAGAAGAACTCACGTGCCAATGCAGGAGATGCAAGTTTGATCCCTGGGTCAGGAGGATCCCCCAGAGAAGGAAATGGCAACCCACTCCAGTATTCTTGCTTGGGAAATGCCATGGACAGAGGAGCCTAGCAGACTGCATAGTCCATGGGATTGCAAAAGAGTCGGACACAGTAGTAGCTGAGCACGCACACGTGAGACCAGAAGCCTGGAGCCTGTCCTAGAAGACCTAGGCACTTCTGTTTTTACTAATCTGCGGCTGGTCTCATCATTACCACCCAAATGTGCTGGTATGCTGGTGACTGGTCCCCACGCATGATACCACCTTTCCCTTCCTCCTCACTGTCCCAGAGACCCACAACTTCCTAGTAATCATAGTGGTAACAAAAATGGTAGCTAACATTTTTAATACGAGTAACTCTGCCAATATTACAGAGCTAGGGAATATCAAAGGGAAAGTGAAAGGCAAAGAAAAGAAATCCTCATGGTTTCAAGAACCCCAAAAAAGGGCTTCTGGGAGCAACAGTTTTTCCTCACCAGGAGCTTCCTCTTGTCTTCACTGGCCCCCAGTCCTACCCCGAAGGCACCGTATGCTCAGGTCCCTACCGTGGGAGGACGCAGCCCTCACCCTCCCCTAGAGTCCTCACCTTCGTGTAGTGAAACTGCATGGGATCATCAGTGGAGAGAGAAACATGAAGCCCCTTGTGCAGGAATTCCCTCAGAGGGTTTTTGGAATATTCGAGGAACAGACTGTTGTTGCTCAGAGGAGACATGGCAATGGGGATCTGGGCCAGGTAGTAGAGATACTGCAACACCGGACTCTGCAAAAGAACCGCCAAACTCAGGAGACAAGAGCCGAAGTGGGGGGCACTCACCAGCGGAAGCCAGGGCTCCAGGCGGGGTCTGTGGGAGACCCCCGAGCTCCCTGCCAGGGCTCTGGGCCCCGGCCTCTGCGTTCGCCTCTCTCCTGCATCGGGGCCCATCCCTCCCCGGGACTGCTCTCCTGCCGTTGCTGGAAGCGTTCCATCTTGGCTCCAGACCGGAAGCACAGCTCAGGGCAGGAAGGGCACCCGCCAGGCCCTGGGCTGACCCCAGCCTACGTCCTCAGGTCCCCTCTCCCAGGCACTGACCCCAAGTCAGCCCTTGGAGATGCCCCACTTTTGTTGTTTGGCTTGACCACAAACATTGAGGTTGTGACTGTAAACACTGCAACTCCTTGGAGGTGGAAAGGGGCGGACATGACTGGGCTAAAGTGGTTCTCTGATGTAGCACCCACCCCACACAGAAACATGAGGCATGGCTAGACTCCCCCTAGGAACAGGGAAGGAGAGGAGTTTGAGCAAAATATCCTTCCTATGGAAGTAAGTCAAAATATGGAGAAGAATGAATGCATAGAGTTCATGGTAGCATTAATGACACAAGCAAAAAGTCAGAAGGATTCTGTGCAACAGCTGGAAAAGGGCTGTCCTTCCACGGCCTTTAGGATGAGCAACTCAGATGTCACGTCACAGCACAGAAAAATGCTTGTGGCACAAAGTTAAGGGAGAAAGAAGGAACTGTTTGTTATGATAATAAGCTTATTAAAAATATGCCCTGGGAAAAAAAATGGGAATTGAAAACAATAACAAGCTAATGCTTTTTTTATTTAAGTGATAGCAGTAAGGATTTTTTTTTCCTATTTCTCCATTTTTTCAAAAACCTAAATTGTGATGGATTTGATCATATTATTTCATAATTAAATATAAAACCAAGAGACTACAGATAGCAAAGCCTAGAAAAAGAACCAGCGCTTCTGCATCACTGGCCAGTGCCTCCCAAGGTGTGGCCAGAGCCCAGGCAGTCCCCATCCTCCCCAGAGGAGCCCCAGGGCGGGACTGTCATGGCAGGGCAGGCGTCTGTCAGGGCCCCAGTTACCTTCTTGAGGAGCAGCCCGTGGGAAATGTTGTCGGCAGTCAGGAAAGCGGAAACCAGGTGGGTGATGGAGCCAGCCTCCCCGCAGTGAGGCCGGAATAGGAACGTGCTCAGGCCCCGTTCCCTGCAGGCGTGAGACTCACGGTGAGAAAGGACCCTGGCCCCCTGCCCCAGGCCCCGAGGGCCTGCACCGCTCGCTTCCCCTCCAGGGAAGACAGTCACCCATGGCAGGGTCAGCACAGCTGACACACAGCGCCCTGGAAACCTCTCCCCAAATTCTGAGACTCAGGCCCAGAGCTCCTCAGAACCAAGAGATTCCATCTCCGGGGATGGGCATCAGTCCTCCATCCATCCTCTCCTCCAGGGCCTGGTAGCCCAGATTCAGAGCAGGCAAGGCCCTGAGAAACCATTAAGTCCAGACTCTGTTGTAAGAAGGGGGCAACCCCAGAGAGTGCAGCCAGATGTCAGAAGCCCCTGAGCAGGGCAACAATGGAGCTGAACTAGAGCCCCTGCCTCAGAAAGCTCAGCCCAGGACTCCACCCCTGGCCGTCTCCTTTCAGCCATGGTCCCACTCAAAAGCCCCACACCCAGGAACTAGCACTGGCTGAGGCCTCAGCCTAGCGACCCGGCAGGGGTGGGAAGGACCGCTCAGCACCCTGCCACCTGGACCCCACCTGGGTGCATGCGCTGGGGGAGCCTGGGCGCACAGGACCAAGGGATGGAAGCTCTGTGAGGGCATGAATCCAGTCTGTTTTGCTCCCTATTATGTGTCCTGGGCCCAGGACAGGGCCTTCACTTGGCAGGTGCTGTGATGTGTTGAATAGATGGATACACACATGAACGCCACTGGTGTGGAGGTGAGTGACCATGTCAGAAGGTCACGTGTCTGTATCCTATCAGGGATGGACACACACACAGGTGTGGTGTGTGCATGGACACAGGGGCTGGCCGCCTTGTATGTGTGATGGTGTCTGTTGCAGCGAGCGGGCTCGTGCGTGTGTGGGTGGCCTTGCGGGCGTGGGTCCGGTGCGGTGGGTTGGGGAGCACCCCAGTGCGAGGGGTGCGCAGGGCTGGCTCACCCACCTGCGGAGGTTGTTCAGCACCATGATGTTGGCGTACATGTAGTACAGGTAGTAGCTGTAGGGCGGGTTCTGCTCGCTGGTCCAGACGTCTGGGCTGGGGCTCTTGTCCGAGAACATGTGGTCACTGTGCTTAGACTCGTCGTCCACGCTGTCAAACCCCGTCACCTAGGCAGGAAGAGGGATCCTGCATCAAGCTGGGGCAGATGGGCTGCCAGAGCCAAGTGATAAAGGCCTTGGCACCCAGGCCTCTCAGCTGGGCACCCTGGGGCCTGCCTGAGCCACATTTCTCCCAGGGATGGGGAGTGGGCACAGCACCTCAGGCTGTCCCTCCAGGGTTTCCAGAAGTACTCCGGATGCCCACCTAGAGAGCACCAAGCCCCTGTGTGGCGGCAACAGTGAAGGGAAACTCAGGCCAGGCCAGGTGAAGGGTGAGGCAGCTGGACTCACCTCCCGTCCTCCTCTGTGCCATCAGCAGCAGTGACAACAGCTGTGACGGGGAGGGGACAGGCGTTTCCATACACCTAGGGTGTGTCAGGCCCTGCCTGAAGCACTGACCACACATCATCAGCCAACTCAATGCTCAAGTGGCCCTGTGAGGGCAGGCTTGGCTGAGAGCCGAGCAGGGCTGGTGAAGGCACCTGCCCACGTGAGACCACTAGCTGAGCCTAGATGGGCTCGGGGTCTGCACTCTTTGGGGCTGCAGGTGGAGGATGCCCTGGGGTGGCCACGAGAAGCCAGCTGGGATGCCTCACAAGCAGGCCAAGGTGGGCGCCATCCAAGAGGGCTTCTTGGAAGACTGAGCCCTGGCTCCTGGAGCCTGCCCTCTGAGCAGGGTCAGAGCAGCTCAGAAGACACCCCTCCCCGCACCATGCTCACACCGACATTGGGCCCACACTACACTCCAGGAGCCCACCCGAGTCACCAGACTCTTGCTGTCACCTCCTCCCAAAGGTCAGGCCCTGGGGGAGGACGTACCTTCGAGGACCCGGCTCCCAGCCGGCACACGGGGCCGCTTTGCTCCCATCACTCAGCCACAACAGTGCTTTGGGAAGGGCCCCCTGAAGGACCGGCCCAATCTGGGGGGCTCCCAGCCCAGGCCCAGCCAGGTCTGCCTGTTCCTAACTGGGTGGTAGAGGCCCAGGGAAGCAAAGGACCACCAAGGTCTTGCCAGAATCTTCCCTGGCAGAGTCATATGTCAAAGGAAATGACGGTCCCCACCGCAGCTCTCAGCGTGGCCTGGACACGTCTGGGGCCCAGAGTGACCTCGAGTTCTGCCCTGTCTGCACTCACAGCTCCATGGTGCTCCTGAATTCTCAGGGCCCGGCACGGGGGCAATGTCAGCCCCTCTCCTGAGCTCTGCGTCCCCCCAGGCAGGGCCCTGAACTGGACATCCCAAGGGCCTCAAGCACAGAATCTATCCAAACCCCAACTCCTCCTCCTCCCCAGCCTCCCCACTCCCCGCATAGCTGGCAGTGACCTCCTAAAGGCACAGCACCTACTCCCCTGCAAAACGAGGCACCCAGGGCCCCTCCAGCTCCTCCCCTTGCTCACCTGCAGGCCATGTCCAAGCCCCATCTATTCTCCAGCCACACCCACCACCTGTATACCCCTCACTTTCCTTAATGGGAGGCAGGATCCTATGGGATCGGTGACACCTGGGTCAGGACCCTGGGTCTGAATTCCAGTCCTGCCCCTCTTAGCTCTGTGGTCTCTCAGTTTCCTGGTGTGTAAATTGGAGCTAGTAGCTTCACAGGACTGCTGGAAGGATTACGTGAGATAATCCACAGTGTCCAAACACACAGCAATGCATAATCACGCTGGCTACCACCTACCAAATGGTGTAAAATGGGGCAGTCATGAGGGTGAGATGAGATCGCATCATGGCGTGGATCACTGGGCCAGGGAGGTCATCAATGTGAGCTGTTACTGCTGCTTCAAGCCCCCTTCACATCTCTACTGCTAGAGCTCGACTCACCTTGCCCCCCTGTCCCCACCTCCAACTACCTTCTGGTTCCAGGGCTTTCCTCACCCAACAGCCTACATGCTGATGGTCTAAGACATAAATTCAATGCTGGCCTTCCACTTGTTCAAACTTTCCAGCACCCCCCAACCCTCCCCGCTACAGATATACTCAGCCACCCCTCAACCCCCACCTCTTCACCCTGAGCCCTCTGGGATCTTCCCTGCCTCCCTCCCTGTCAGAAACATCCACAACATAACCTTCACCAGGCACTGAACTTGCCTCTCACCATCTGCAGCCACCTCTGTTCTGGGTACCCAGAGGGCAGGACAAGCTCCTGCCCGCCTGATGCCCTTCCTATTAAGTCTCTTCTCCACCCTTCTCCCCTCTCCCACAACTAAGCAGAAAAATATATTTTGTGGGGCTTATCCAAACAAGGTATGAGGATCACTGGTGTCTAGGGGAAAGCAGGAGTCTGAAATGTCTGCAGCTGGGGTGGGCCTGGTCCTTTCAGCCCCGCCTGTCAGTAACTGACTCTTCAGTCTTTCTGCCCTGTGGCTGCCTTCCCAGCACCCCACCCATGCCTGTAGGGCCACCCCAGAGGAGAAGGGAACTTCCCTTCTCTGCAAGAAGCTTGTTATTCTAGAAATTCAGCTTCTTAGGGTTGGACACTTCATGCCTGGGGCATACCAGGGACAGGATCTTAGAAGGTAAACTGACTCAACTTGCTGGGACTGTTCTCCTTCCTCCCCCACTGGGCACATCACCTGAGCACCACCCATGCTTACATATTTGAGGAAGAGGTGAAGCTCTCGGTGATCTTGAGGGTTGATGGTGGCCTCGAAAAGGGGCAGGAAGATGTTCTCCAGCATCTTCCCGAAGCTTGGCAGCAGCTTCTTTAACCTAAATATGTCACTGGGGGAAAGGGAGATTTGCTGATGAAGGTGGTCCCAATAGCCCCCTCGACCTGTCAGAGACCAGCCCTGGTCCCTTCCTCAGGCAGTGCAAGTCCCCGTTTAAGCACCCAGGGCAGGGTCAGAGGTGGGGCTCCAACACAGATCCTTCCCCTCCTTGCCAGGTTCTGCAATACCAAGCATTGGTTGGCACACTCAGCACCAACCCATGCCCATCAGTGAGCGTTCTTCAGCTAGAGGCCACACTGGGAGGGGGGCGCTGGGATTCAGGCTGATCTAACTCCCTGCCACTCAGCTCAGTTCCCCTAAACCACAAGGCCAGCCATTCCAGGGGCCCTACCTGGCCCAGACTGGAGAGGACAGGGGTAATCTGAGCCATATCCAGGCAGTGGGCCAGCAATGTGGGCCCCCATCAGGTTATGCAGACTCCCAGCCTCACCCAAAAAGAGAGTCCATCCTCAAATCGCAGTGACAAGAAGATGGGCAGTCGTTCCCCCCAGGGCTTCCCAGGTGGCGCAGTGGTAGAGTCAGCCTGCCAATGCAGGAGACACAAGAGACACCGGTTTGACCTGTGGGTCAGGAAGATCCCCTGGAGAAATGCATGGCAACCCACTCCAGTATTCTTGCCTGAAAAATTCCATGGGCAGAAAAGCCTGGTGGGCTACAGTCAATGGGTCTCAAAGAGTCAGATATGACTAAGCGACTGAGCACACAGTTCCACCAGGCCTTTGCAATCATATGTTCTTCAAAGAACAGTGTTGAAGCATCACAAGGACATCTGTGCAGACCGCCCCTCTCTGTAGGGGAGTCCCAGGGGCACCAGGCCTAGGCTGGCACTGGAACAGCTCAGCAGATCCTCCAGGACAGGCTGGCAACCCCAGAGGACACGGGTAGACAGCAGCCACCTCACTTACTAGATCCGGGGCACCTGGATGATCCAGCGCATGTTGGGTGAGTAGACCTTGTGCTGGATGAACCAGCGGGCCAGGTTGGGCCACTCCTCGGGACTGCGGCCGTAGATGGACAGCCGTGGCTCTGAGTACTGGTACTTGCTCTCCTCCAGCTCCCGGGCCACCTCCTGGCACCAAGAAGAGCTCAGGTCAGCCCAAGGGTTGACCCTGGGTTGACCCCAGCAACAGACCCTGCAGCTCCCCCAGCCACCAGCTCCCTGGCTCAGAAGGCCTGATCTACACCTCTTGTTAGCACTCACTGCACCTTTGTGGGGAAGAAAGCCCTGGGCTTGCACAGTCACACGTGTGACCAGGCCCGGCAGCAGAAGCATCTCTACACAGAGCGAACCTGTACCCAGTGCGGGCTGCAAACATGCAGAGCAGCAAGCCTGGATGTGGAGGGCTGGACTGGGATGGACATCCTCCCCTTCCTCTTGCCTGCAGTCAGCACAGTCCACACACAGCACCTCCTGCCCTGCTGGAAGCCGGCGGCCAGGGCCACAGCACTGGCCAGTGGGCACCTGCACCCCGCCTGAGCTGGACGGACAGGGATTTGGGAAGGGGAAGAGGACAGGAGACCCTGCAGGCCCCCACTCCCTGAAGGCAGATGCTGTCGGGAATCCCAGGAGGGCTTGGAGACGCCCAGGGCTCACTCACCTTGACCATCCGAGCGAAGTACTCTCCTCCTAGGTAGTTTTCTGTTTTTAGATACAGGTCTCGCAGCTCGCTGGCCCCCACAGGGTTGTACTTGGAGTTGAACTTGTCAAAGCGGTGGAACGTCTGCCGGCCCTGGAGAAAGAGACATCAGCCAGCTCACCACGCTATCCTGCAGCCACCAGACACACGCCTCCTCCAGCCTTCACAATGCGGCCTCCGCAAGCCACACTGAAAGGCGCCTTCTACATCTGTTCGTGCGTGGAAGCTTGGGAAGTCCCAGGGCCGGGACCACACGTCCTCACTCGGTCAGCCCTGGGGTCATTCCCTGAGACCTTCTGTAGAGCAGGGCCAAGGTCCTCGCGCTTCTAGGAGCAGGGCTAGCTGAGCGAGCAGCGAATACTGAGCCATCAGTAATAGCGTGTGTCCTATTACTGCTTAGACTGACTGCATAAGGCCCTTTCTCCACACCTCCTCATTCAAGGTCTGGTTTAAGATTTTTTCACTGTGGTGAAATGTATACGACACAAAATGTGCCATCTTAACCATTTTTAAGTGTACATTCACATTGCTGAGCAGCTATCACCACCACCTGTGCCCAGAACTCCTTCCATCTTATAAAACTGAATCTACGTCCTCATGAAACAGTAACTCCCCATGACCCCCTCCCCCAGCCCACGGTAACCACCATTCTCCTTTCTGTCTCCATGAGTTTGCCTGTTCTAGATGCCTCATACATGTGGAATCATATAGGACTGGTCCTTTTGTGTCTGACTTCTTTGATTTATAACGTTTTCAGGGTTCATCCATGGATATAGCAGGTTATCAGCACTTTATCCCTTTTCAGGACTGAATAATATTCCAGTATGTGTGTGTATGTACATTTTGCTTGTCCATTCAAGTGGTGATGGACACTCTTTGGCTACTGTGAACAATGCTGTGATAAGCATTGATGTGCAAGTATCAGCTGTAATCCCTGCTTACAATTCTTTGGGGTATATACCTAGGACTGGGATTGCTGGAATATATGGTAATTCTATATTTAACTTCCTGAGGAACTGCCCTACTGTTTTCTGTAGCAGATGCACCACCATTTAGTATTTTAATAACACTGTAATGTCATTAAGGCACATGGTAGTCACCATGTTACAAGCAAGGAAATAAAAGCTCAAATGAATTACTCAAAGGCACTTAACTCTTACGTAGAGGAAATGGGAGTTAGAAGGGGAAATGTCTCTGACTCCAAGTCACCCCCTCTTCTCCTCTGTCCCAAGGCTGCTTCCAGCCCTTGTCCTTGTTTGTCCTCTGAGGACAAACTGCCTCTCACAGTTCCCATGGCTGGAAGAGAAAGCGATGCCTACACAGCCAGCCCCTCTCCAAGACCAATCATGGCTGCTTTCCAGTGGGCTGAGTCCTCCACCAGGACTGCGTGAGGCCCTGGGGCCGAGCCCACTCACCGCATGGACGTCCAGCGAGTCCACAGTGAGGTCGTATGGGTCCATGTGCAGGCTGTCAAACACCTGCCGCAGGGTAATCTTCCGGCCCCGCTTCTCGGCCACTGTCCTGTCGGGCTCCGTCTGGTACGTGTGCTTGATGAAGCGCAGCAGGTGCTTCTGGTTCATGCAGGCAGCTGCATGGATGTGTGTGTCCACCTGCAACACAGTGCCCCAGCACGTGAGCTGATCCACCTCCCTCAGCATCAACAACCAGGACCCCCAGGCCTCGGTGTTGAGTGCAGAGCCTCAGCAGCTCCCCTGGTGCTGGACTGCCCCACCCCATCTCTTCTAGAACTGGTCTCCCCCGCTTCTAGCCTTGCTGCCCAGTCCCCCTCCTGACAGCATCAGGAGACCTTTTCTAAGTTCAGTTCAGATCTGGCCATTGGCCCTGTTAACACATCAGTGCTGCCCAACATTTCAAGATAACGCCCAAGTTCCTTAGCCTGGGATTCAAGGCTTACTTCAGTCTTAAGTCTCACCTTGCCCTGCTCTCTGCTCCAGCCAGGACACCCCACTTACCAGAGGAGCCATGCTATTCCTCAGCCTGGATGTCTGCCTTCCTCCCCACCAATCTCATCCACCTGGAAATCTACAATCTCCTCCACACAGAAGCCTATCCTGATCCCCCAAACACAACGAATGAGTTTTTCCCTTGTCCAACCTGGAACCCTGGCACAGACACTCCTGTCACTGTATATATCCTCCAGTCCACTCTAATAATTTTCTGTCTACTTCATCACTAGACTGGAAGCTCAGTCCTCAAGGACAGGGACCGTGTCTGATGCATCTAAGTCTCCAGCGCCTACCCCAGAGCCTGGGATGATGTGAAATCAATGGATGGATGAACAGACCAATGAACAGGTGTAGAAGGTTCCAACAGTTTCAGCGATACCCACCTCCTCCTCATAGAACCTCGAGGGCTCACATAATGCCCCACAAAATCCCACACTTGCCACTGACCTCTCTTAGAACCCTCAGAGCATTCCCCTCAGCCACCAGCCCTAAAGAAATAGAGCCCTGGCTAAGCTGGGGAATGGCCTGAAGTCACAGTGGGCATCCTGACCCTCTTCCCTAAAGCCAAGGGGCCTGCGGGAGGTCCTGGGGAAGGAGGCAGTGATCTCACAGGCCAGGGTGCTGCCACCCACTAGCCCACACTCTGTAGTCCCTGCTGCGGCCAGCTGGGCAATCTGCCAGGGCTGGGACGAGGAGGCGGCTGACCTCAGGCCAAGGAATGCTGTCCACAGCTGGCCAGGCATCCCCAAGTCATGCCAAAGCCGACATCCAATCCACCGAACCTCTGTGAGCTCTCCACCAGCCAGCCCCTGTCACCGGCCACATCCCTCCTTTAATCCCTCCACTCCTACCAGAAAGACAGACCACTGGGCATCAGAGAAAGGAAGCACCAAAAGTTAAAACATCACCCAAAGCCCAGGCCCCTCAGGGACAGGCTGGGCTCGTGGGAGAGGCACAAGCGAAGGTCAGCTGGCCTTAGCTCAGCCAGACACAGCTGGGCTCAACCACCTCAGCATGACTTAGCACATTCTGGGCTTTCTTGCTGTCCTCGGGCATCCCACTGACACACGGCAGGGGGTTCAGCCTGTGCTTACCCCCGTGAGTCACAAGACAGGCAGGAAAACAACTGGACAATCCAGGAAGCATCTGATCCAAACTTCAAAATTACCACGGTGATTATTTTAGGAACAAGTAAAAGAGCCTGTAATCGGAGGTCAGCACTTTCAATTCACTGGAAGATCCAGGAGCAATCCTTGCTTTCACCTAAGATCTGGGTCTAAACAGAGGTTTCTAAATGGGCTGGCCAATACCTGGCCTCTAAGCCAACACTATTTCCATATCCATAGTGAAAGTCACTCAGTTGTGTCTGACTCTGCAACCCCATGGGATGTAGCCTGCCAGGCTCCTCTGTCCACGGAATTCTCCAGGCCAAAATACTGGAGTGGGTAGCCTTTCCCTTCTCCAGGGAATTTTCCCAACCCAGGGATCAAACCCAGGTCTACCGCACTGCAGGCATCCGCATCTTTACCAGCTGAGCCACCAGAGAAGCCCAAGAATACTGGAGTGGGGAGCCTATCCCTTCTCCAGGGGATCTTCCTGACCCAGGAATCGAACTGGGGTCTGCCACATCCACGGCAGACATCAATAATCAACTACAGCACCCTTCACTAAGCTTTGGGAATAGCCTCAGGTAGCCACTCCCCACTGGTCAAGTTTGGCACACAAGATGAAACCTGTTTGCTCTCCCTGATATGAAACTCAAACCAAAGTGGGTAAGGCCTAATCCTACCCCACTGCCAAGCAGCAAACACACTCAGCCCCTTGCTCTCAGCTCTGAGCTGAAAACAATCATCTCAGTTACATACACCTGCTGGCTGGGCCTCACGGTGCCAGGACCCATGATCTGCTGTGATGCCGCAGGTAATTTCACAATACCACCCACACTGACCCACAGCCACACACAGCTCCTGCCTCAAAGCAGGGCCACCACGACATTGACAGCCACTTGGAAGTGTGGAGGCCACCTCCCAGCCCATCCTGGACTTCAGAATCAGCTCTCCTCCCCTCGCAGAGAATGCCAGGGTAAGAGCCGTCAGCTCCCAGGAGACAGGGAGGGGCAGGCACAGCCTGACCTGGAGCAGACCCTGGCCTGTGTTTCTGGATATGGAGCCGGCGTGCAGCACAGCACAGCACTCATAGCATGTCCGTTCAGAGGGTACACGAACCCCCAGACGGACAGAGAGCTCAAGCTTTGGCTCTGGTATATAGCCACAGCCCCCACCCCTGCCCCCAGGACCCTCGCCCACAGAGTGGCCAGAGAGCAGCTGGCCAGCCCATCAGCACCCACAGGGGCCCCGCCTCAGAAGCAAACAGTGTCGGAGCTGGTGCAGTCAGCAAGGACGCTGCTGCAGGCAGCAGGCCAGCCCTGAGCACGCACATGTGCGGAGGGCAGGGCTGCCCACAGCTGGGCGAGGGGTTCCCTGGGAAACCCACCTAGGGTGGAGGGTTCATGTAGGCAGGATAGACAGGAGCTGGCCTATCGACTGAGGCACCCATCTGTCTGAGCACCTGAGGATCACAGAGAAGAAATAGACGGTGCTCGAAGGTAAACATGCCACGCCGGGGTGTCCCACACACACCCTTTCACCTCTGCCTGGAAATCCCGAGACTCTCACATGAGCCTTAGAGCCCAGGAGCTGAGCTCAACTCACTCCAAGTCAGCTCAGTTCCGACCTCTTCCTGAAAGACACCTCTATCACATCCCTATCAAACTAATAGTAACTAGCTGGGAACTGCTTGTGGGCAGAAAGTGACCCTTACTCAGCATCAAATGCCCCTCACTTGGCACTGATCCCATGCCTGATATATATTAGTTACACGGGATAAAATGGAAAAGCAGGAGGCGGCGACCATTTAACCTATAGGCTCGTCCTGACTGCGGCCCCTGAGCCCAGGTGCATGCAGGCTGCTCATCCACTCCATAGGAGGGCAGAGAGAGGAGCACGTCGGATACGCTTCCTTAAACACACCCGGTCCAGAAGGAAGCAGAACCACACTCCCCCAAGTCCAAAGAGGTCTTAACATTGATAACTGTTTTTCGATCCGTGATAAATTTGAGACATACTCTATGTCTCAACTCTTACAACCAATTAATAGGCCCCGCTCTATTTTTCAAGGAGGATGGTACATTCTAACAGATATACAACAAAGTCATAACAAGTACCATCTGAGGCATGGCCGGACACATGGAAGACAGCTGGCCAGTTTTCCTTTTGTTCATAGGAAGGCCACACTGGGGAGCCAGCCCCCGACTGGCTCGGGCCAGAATGGGTTGGAATGAGGCCCAGGACAGGAGCTCTGAATGCTGGCCCGCTAACACACCTTTCTCACGTTATAGAAGTCTCGGTGGGGGTTACTCTTCAACTCTTTGAACTCAGACATTTCATTTAACATCTCATGAAGGCTGAACTTGGATTCCAGAAAGTTCAGTCGCCGGTGACAATACGTCTTCCTGCAGGTTGGGAAGGAGAAGAAACCACAGTTGAGGAGAAGTCGCATCAGTTCTCCAGTCTGGAGACCTCCAGTGTCTATGGGGACCCAGTCCTGGGTGGAAGGTCAGGATGGAGCAGGGAGGGATGAGAAGGGGCCAGATATCAGCAGACCCCGCTGAACTATGTAACCACAGCCACGTGCTCTATGAAATGCGTGGAGAGTCGATAGGGGGCAGTAGAGAGCTGACCTCATACAGATTCCTTCTATATGAGCTTTACAGGTTTAGGCAATTAATCTCAAGCTGCTATCTCTCATGAACAAATATGGAGATGGCACTGCCCAAGACAGAAGTGAGGGTTAAATTGGCTGAGGATGTGAAGGGTCCAACTCAGCTTCATGGATACTCAAAGTCTCCCTCTTTCAGTCCTTCCATCTTTCCACCCTCCCATCTATCCTCTGCCACCTTTCATTCCTTGAAAGGAGTTTCACCTCTGTCCAAAAGATCAGTAATACAGTCAAATCCTAAGGCATGACCTTCCCACCTTGGCTGTGACCAAATGACACCCAGAAGATTTCTCAACCCTGAGGCTTCAGGACGAGGGGTAGATGTTCTGCATCGTAGGCAGATGAGGGATATAGGGGTGTTGTTACCAGGACAGGAGTCCATGAAAGAACTGATGTCCCCACCGGCTTGCAAAGGCCACTGGGGGGTGGGAGCACCCACTGTTCTCAGCCAACAGCCAGCCCACACCCAGCCCAGGTGCCTGGCCATGTGCCTGTGCCACAGCTACACAGAATATGCAACCACAAGTCGGGCCACCCTGCTTCCCTGTGGCCCCCAGATGCACACAGCACCCTTGGCACCCAGGCACAGAGACCCTTGTAAAGAGCGGCCACCAAGCCTGGACCAGCACCACCATATGTGCGCCAGGACAAGCCCACAGCCGAGCACGGGAGAGTCTGGGTCAGACCGGATTCCCAAGGGCATCTCTCCCAGTCTCTCTCCCAGCAGGACTCGCCCTGACAGTCTCCGGGACAGCTGCTGCTCACACACCTCCTGGAACAGCCCTGTCCCCAAGGCTTCCCCTCAGACCTTCTGTTCACATTGGCTGAGGCAAGCTCCCAGGGATCCCACTCTCCCCTCCCAGCTCTTCTCTCTGCCCTCAGATCACCAAGGACCCACTCTGTCCATCCCCTCGGGGCCCACTCTCCTCCCTTGGAAACTGGCGTCACCCCACTCCCAGCAAAACCCAAATGGCAGGGCAAGAGAGAAGTCCCTCACCTGTGACCAGCTTCCTCTGCTCCCCTAGGCTGGGCACTCAGGCACAGCCCCCACTGCTGATTCCCTTCAATGCTCACCAAGGAGTGAGGGCCCGAACTCAGGAAGACCGCTCCCCGCCAGGGTAGCTCCAGCTAAGCCTACAAGCATCCTGGGAGTTGCGGCTCAGAGCTCCCAAGCTCTGTGCACTCCCCGCTCCAGAAACATGGAAAAACCAACACCAGAAGCAACAGTCTTCATGGCTCCCCCACCATCTACCCTAAAGCCCTGGGCTGGTAACTCTCTGCATCGCTGTTGTCCTGCCTGGGGTGAGGGGTGACCATCATTTTAAGGTGCACAGGTGGCCACCGGCAAGCAGGAGCTCCACACCTGTGCATGCGGAAGGGACAGGCAGTAGCAACTCAAAGAATGCGCCAGTCTGTGAAGAAAAATTGTCGCCGAAGCCCACAAAGCACTGGGAAAAGAGAGAAACCCACAAAGCCGTCTCTTTCTGGGGTGGTTTATCTGAGGGAAAGCCCAGAGCAGAAGGCCTGCCCTGGTCCCTTTCTACAGAGCAGCGCTCCTGCAGAAAGAGGGGGACTCAGCTGGTCATGGAGGGGGAAGGGGACTCACGTGGGGCCATCCGTGATGAGAGCCAGGATGTGGCTCATGTCCACCGTGTAGGTCTCTAGGTCGGGGTAGGGCAGGCTGTGGGGCTCCTGGCGCTCTAGCATCTTCTTGTTGTCATACACATAGAGGATGCCTCCCTGCATGCGGACCAGGTAGCCCAGGTTGGGGGGAGCATTCTCCAGGCAATAAGGGTCTTCTTCAGGCAGAGGAGGCGGATGAAAGTCTGAAAGACAGGACTGAGTGATAGCAAAATGCCCCTGACCTCAGGAGCTCACCTCAGGACCACAGGGCTCCAAAGTCACATTCTCCGTGAGGCCTGTCCTGGTTGTCTGACCTAAAACCTAACCACCCCAACCTGCCCCGGCATCTCACCTCCCCCTCCCATATTTATTTTGTCTCCTTATCACTTGCCACTATGTAAGATAACTTCTCTGCTTTATCTTGGGTGGTAAATGTTCATCTTGTTCACTGCTGTATCCCCATTTCCTAGAACCATCCCTGGCCTGTGTCTGGCACTTCATTTTTTTTTTTTTTTTAACTTAATTGAAATGAGTTTCAGTCTTCTGGGTAGTTCAGGGACATGAAGTTTATTAAGACGGGCAGCTGCGTCTTCTCCTAATAAGAGAACAGACAGGATCTGGGACTGCCCAGCGGGAATATAATTGTTCCTGTCCTTCCACATCTTCCTGAGCCCAGGGCGGCCAAGGGGCAAGATGGAGAAGTCAGCCCTCCCCACAAGCACTGAATAGGGAGCCTGTGCCCCCAGAGACAGAGCTGTCTGTCCCCACGCCGTGGGGCTGTTAGCCCACAGGAGCCAGAAAACACCTCTTGGCTATTTCCCAGCTATGATTTCAAGCAAACTGGGACTTTACCTCCTGACTCTGTCTGCTCAGCTGAGGATAACGCCCTGCCTTAACGGGCTGCTGTGAGGGTTGCAGCAGCAGGTAGAGGAAGATGCTGTGTAAATATATCTTAGGGTGTTATTCTCATCTCTCTTGTTCTCTCGATAAGCTCTGTTCTGGCCAAGGAACAGGTTATGCTAAGTAGCAGTAGAACTAGGGGCTTCAACTCTGCACATCAGCCAACCCTGCATAGGGTCCCCGACTGTCCCCTGCCACCAAAGGCAGGAGGAAATCCTGGAATCATCAATGGAAGGAAGGAAGGAAGGCAGAGCGGCTGGCTGAGTGTCTCCCATCAGAGCTCAGAACAAACTGTTCCTGGAGCAGACGTGAACCATCCCAGGGGCTAAGGCAGCACGGGGGGGGGGCAAGAGATGCCACACACACCCCCATCAGGCATGGCCACAGTACAGCACGTGAGTCCCATATGCGGGGCAGTGCCTATGAGATGCAGGCAGTCTGAAAGCCTGGGTCAACCACAGCCTGCACTTCACCACACTCACACCCAGGCCCCCAGGACTCTGCTCTGTATAAAGTACACCTTTGACAGTCATTTCTGCCTGCCAACAGTGGAGCAGGTGGGATCAATCCTCAGACAGACAGGGAACCGGGCCTGAGAGGGCTGAGACCCAGAGCCCCAGGTGGTAACAGATGCCCAAAGTCCAGGTTCAGCGCTTCAAGGAAGCCGGAGAGGAGATGTCTTGGCAACAACTCTACCCGGGGTCCTGGGTGCTGGCATAGACCACCAGGCCCTCATCTGATTCCCCCACCACCAACTTTCACGATTGAGGTCTCCACAGGCCAAACAGACTCCACCAAAAAGCATCCTGCCTTCTCCAATCCCCTGTTCAGTGAACTCCACAGCACATCAACATAACTACTATACCAATCACCCACTAGATCCAGGGGCTTCTCAAGTGGCTCTAGTGAAAGGAACCCAGCTGCCAATGCAGAAGACATAAGAGATGCAGATTTGATCTCTGAATCAGGAAGATCCCCTGGAGGAGAGCATGCAACCCAACCCACTCCAGTATTCTTGCCTGGAGAATCCCGTGTACAGAGGAGCCTGGCAGGTTACAGTCCATAGGGTCGCAAAGAGTCAGACACGACTGAGCAGGCACTAGATCCTGAACTGCACTAACTACTTCACGTGCATTCTCTCGTTTCATCCTCACAACAGACCCAAAGGATAGATACTATTAGTATTCCCATTTTACAGATTGAAAAACTGAGGTTTGGAGAAAGGCCTTCCTTTCCCAAGAAAGTGGACTTTTGGTATTTAGAAAGTGGAGCTTAGATCGGAATGTGAGTGTGCTGGACTCCAGAGCCAACTTCCCTGCCCTGAAAACACACCCTCTCTACCTACCCCCAATCCAGGCACCTCACCACTAATTTGGTATTTCCTGTCTGACTGTGTGTAAATATCCAGGCTGAGACTGCCCATCTCCCAAGATCAGAGACTGCCTTTCAGCCCCTTCCCTCCCCCCAACTTGTACAGCTCAGCTCAAAGCAAGGCACCTGGGCAGATGAAACCAACCCTTCAGGAAACGAGCAAAAAAATCAGTGTAGGAGAAGCCAGTACCAGGGCTCTGCCCTTAAAACACCATCCGAGGGAAACACATCCAACCAATAAAACATCCTGACCAACTCTCGGGCTGTACCCCGCCTGGAACCCCACCTGCCGCCACAGCACCGTACCTGGGAGGCCCTCCTCCGGAGGCACGGCGTCCAGCCGCCGATGACCCAGGTACTGGGCCGTGGTGCGTGGGAAGCGGTGATACGCGAGGCGGGCATACTTCTCCCGGATCATCAGGGCCTTGGCCAGGCTCTTGGCAGCCTGCTCATAGTCCTCCACGGTGATCTGCAGGAAAAATTCAGAGAGCAGGCCTGAGGCCGCTGATCTAGGGAGGCCTGCCACAAGGTAGGACCAAGACAGACAGCAGGGAACGTGGGTCTGAGGAGCATCCCCACCATGGTGGGCATAGAGGCTCCCTCTGCCTGACAAGTCTGTACACACACCGTGATGTATGCTGGATGTTTGATTTCCGTTTGCAAGCCTCGGATTGAGGGGTGTGCTCTGCAGACAAGCAGCCAGGCCCAGTAACAACCTCAGCCACTGAGTCTCTAATGAGCTTCCGCGGAAGATGACACTTCACACGTGCTGTCACATGCAAATGCTGAGTGATTAAGTGCATTCTGGTGACTCCACTGGGAGGGACTGCTAGGCTCTGGCCTCCTACAGACTCTGCCCTATGTACCTCTTCCTTTTCGCTGATTTTGCTCAGCATCCTTTTACTGTAGCAAATCCTGGTCATGAGTGCAGCTATGCACTGAGTCCCAGGAGTCCTCCTGGCAATCATGGAACCCCCCAACACGGGAGGAGATTTGGGACTCTTGGGAGGGAGGCAGGTACTCCAATGTGCACACTCCAGGCCAGCACTCAGCACATCACACCACAAGCCAGCTGCTGCAGCACCCGGCACATGAAGAGGCCCAGCCTGGACCGTGTCCCTGATGGAGTGAGCATCATTATGATCAGTTAAGAAAATACATGGGTCCTTCCGAGTGCTCAGCGCGCTGCTCTGCCAACCCCAGGCTTCTGATTCACCTGGCAGTCACCCCAATCCACCCAAGCAACAGAGGCTTACGGGACAGATCCTTTCCATAAGTTTCATTTTGGTCCTCATTGCCATTCATCTCACAACTGCGGAAACAACCAGAGAGGATAAATCACAGAAAGTCAGAAAGCCACACTTCAGACCCTGAACGGATTGATTCCTGAAGCCCAAGGATGCTCTGCTTTCCCAGAGCTGCCTCGTACTCAGAGACAAATGAGATAAATGCCCCCCTCCCAGTGGACTTGTTCATCTCTGTCTGTTGGGACGGATGTGTGTGGCAGAAACCTGAACGTGCTGGGGGAGATAGGCAGCTAAACAGTCATTCATAAGAGGGGATAAGAGACGTGGAAAACAGAGGCACAAGACGGAGCACAGAGTGAGGAAAGCTGGGGCCCCCTCTGCTTCAGTGGGAAAAAAAAATCATTTTTAGTTTTGAAATGTTGTAAACATACAGACAAGCACTGAAGATGACAGACACCTGTGCATCTACCTTCCAGCGCTGACAGTTTTAACATTTTTTATCACTGCTTCGGATGTCTTATACGTTTACATAAACAGATCATCTCAGAGGCAGCTAAAACTCTCCCCCCTCCCCCCCGCACCCCGAGGAAGGTATATATCTTTCCCATGCATATGTTTATACTTTTACTTTTGTTTCCTCCTTGCTTTTTATTAAGGAAGTAGCTTCTCCTTTCCTGACTCCAGATGTCCCCATGAGGGGGTGGTAACTCCATTTTACACCTTCTGATGGCTTCTGACAGCACAGGTGAGCAGAGAACACCAGAGACAAATATGCTCCTGCCCACGACAAAGCCAAACACTTCATCTGCAGGACCCACAGACTCAGCATGGCATGGGGCTCGGGCTGGAGGCATCAGAGACGGGCTCAGCATCCCAACAGACCAGCCAGCTTGTTACCACTGCACACCTCAGGCCTGGCAGCAGACCCATGGGGGGCCAAGGCGACCTGCAAAGTCAGCCTGCCACTCATGAACTGGGGACCAGTCGCCCAGTTCAGAGGCTCCGTGCCCTACAACGTGCCAACAAGGAGACTGATGGAAAAGAGCTGGTTAACACACCAGCCAATGTCCTCCCTTCAGCTGGCTGTCAGCCCCCTCCACTCTCCCTTTCAGCTACCCTGCCCTCATGCAGGAAGTTGGGTGGGCACCACGGATTCCTGGTCAGGATGCTGTATCCCAAACAAGGCCTGTGCTGTTTTCAATCCAACCAAAATCCCCATCCGTAGAAAGGAACTTAAAGTATGGTTCATCCACACAGTGGAATATTATGCACTTGTTTAAAAAAAAAAAAAAACAAGATAGTTCTTGATATAATGATATGGCATTATCTTCAAGATGTACTGTTAAGGGAAAACCTTGGTTCAGCATAATGTATGGTAACAACCATTTGTGTAAAAACAAATAAAACAACTACATGAGCACAGTAGGTACACAGTTTACTGTGTGAGAATAAACAAGAAACCAAAACCAAGGACTGCCTCAGGAGAGGCGAATCAGATAGCTAGAGGACTGATATAATTTGGGGGCCTTTTAAATTGTAAGCCATATGCAAAGATCTTCTATTGATTTTGTTAAAATAGAAGAAAATTTATAAGAGTAATAAGTCACTCTGTCTTCTCAGATACACTGTATATCCTAAATGTACTGTTAAAAAGAAGAGAGAATAACAAGCCAATTGAGGCATGAGTAGTAGGTTGAGGGCCAGGAAGGCAGAACCAAACCTGGTGCTAAGTGATATTTCTCTTCAAGAAGCAATAAAAATTCAGCATCCAACCAGGTGAAATTAGCACATTTTCAGTGGCTGAGTTAACTGACTTGGTGCAAACCAAGCTTGATCACATTCTAGTCACGACTCTCTTCCCGGTTCGAGGGTCTGGCCTCTGTTTAAGAACATGATGGCACGCAAACCAGTCCACACCAAGACTTGAATCCATTCCACATCTGAGAACTCTAAAGGGCCCAAACTGGAACCGTCTCCAATGGGCTACAGGAACAGAGAGCAGTGTTCTGGGCCCAGAGCACATATGGAAACTACAGGCCACTGGATGTGCCAGCCTGAAGCCCCAGGCCCTCCCCACAAGGACAGCAGTGCCCTAGACACACACCCACACCCACCACCTTGCCTCGAACCCTCCTTCTCTCCAGACTTCTGCCCGCCATCTCCCAGACACTCGCAGACCAAGCCAGGCTTTGCGGTCTGGGCGTGACCCCAAGGGACCCCAGCTTTTGCGCAAGGCACACTCTACAACACTCACACAGCCTCCAGCGAGCCCACGGGGACGCCTTACCCCAGCGCAGTAGTCTCCACTGATGGTGACCCGCTGGAACTCGGGCATGGCATAGGGTGCGGGCGCAGGCAGGGAAGTGGCTCCAGGGAGCACGGGGGTTGCAGGAGACATGGCCGGGCTGGCTGTCGGGGGACCCTTCCAATCTTGCTGTGTCGGCATTTGCAGAGACAGGGACTGGGATCGAATCATCTTAAAACTTTTCTTTCTAAAAGTGAAGGACAAGCGAAAGTGAGAGACAACAGCAGCTAATCGGGGAGAGTGATGAAGACTCTCTGTTACTGACATGGAAGGAGAATTTGCCTCTGATTAATCAGTGGTGCTGGCCCTACCGTTAAGAAGTTTCTAATTATTCATGCCTTCCTCTCACACACATCTCTCCACATGCAATATCCCAGACACCCCTCTATGCAGCCACTAAGAACTGCTTGGGCTGTGTTCGCACGGCACGTGGAACAAGTAAGTAGGCAAATGTCTCAGGAGACAGAGAGCAGACCACACAGCAGGGGTCTAACACCGAGGGCAGAAGAAGTGAGGATGATGTCAAACTGGCCAGCATGCTGTCTTCAGATAAGCCAAACTCTTGAGTCCCAGCATGTGAAGAGTCTCAATTACAGTGCATTTCACAAAGTTGATAATTTGGGGCACTGGAGCCAGAAGAGACTGTGACACCTCCTGTTTTCACAAAGGAAGAGTCAGGGGTCCAGATGTGAAATGACTTCTACAAAGTCCGAGCCAGGCAGCTAGCCCTCAGCTTCCCACCGCCCTGGTGCCCCTTTTCCCCCGCTGCTCCTTCCTCCAGCCTAGCAGTACCCTCCACCTGCTGCTGGCTCAGTCACAGATCTGTAGCTCTGTAACGGGAAAGCGACTGATCAGCATCAATTTCAGGTCCCTCTGGACCTGTCACCTTGACACCAAAAGATGATCTCGCAAACTCTTGGGGAAGTAGGCACAGGTTGGTTTAAACTGTCATGAGCTCATGCTTATTTGCAAGGCTGATTTGTGAATACTCACCTTCCTCACTAACTAATTAGTTATGTTTCAAATGACACCACCATAAATTCTAGGATCCCTGGGCAGGAAGTTCAGCAGCAGGGAGGTGAGGCCATCAGCACTCCCCTCTCCCATGTCTCTTTCTGTCTCCAAGGGAACCCAGCACTGCTGCCCAGTGATGTCCAGTGCCAGCAACAAGCTGACTGCTTGCCCTCCTGTGCCATAGGGCCCAGCAGTGTCCTGGGTACAATCCAGGACAACCAGAGCCTATAGCCACCAGTGAAGGACTCAGTGACAACCGTGACCATCCAGAGCCCCTAGCACCTGCCCCCTTCTCCAGGCACCAGTGACAAGTATAGGGTGTGGAGAAATCAGTTGATCTGTAAACAGACCTTATGATTCACCCGGAAGTAGCTGTCTTCCTCCTGGCCCTTGGCCAGACCTCTTCTCACAGACTCACGGCCGATTTTTCGGGAACCACAGTTCCCTGCTCTGTCTATACACCCACCACTTGCCACGGCTCTCTGGTTCTTATCTGCCCATATGTGTTATCACCTCCTTGGGGACAAGGCCGTTTACACTTGGAAAGTGGAGGTGGCCCTTTTACAGAAGTCTGTCTTTGCCCTGCCCCTGACCCTGCATAACAGATGTACTGGGTTGTTCAGGAAACCCAGGCTGAACTCCAGGAACAACCAGTCAGGCTTTTCTGAACCCGCCATCCATCCATCACATGGAGCTGAGTCAAACATCCCATTTCAAGAAAGATGCCAACTCATGCCTGTCAATCATTCCTTAGAGGCAGACTCACCTGGAGTGATGAGGTTCCCACTTTAGCATCTTTCGGATGTTCACACCTGGAGGAGCTATTATTTTGGGCTCCCTCCAATGTTCTGACAGGTTCAGCCAGACCCCATAAGACTCTGGCCTCCATGTCACTCATATGCCTACCAGGTCACTGTTTTAATCCCTCTGCTGACTTCACCCCCACAAGCCTCAGCCAGTGTTGCCTGAGGACCAGTCCTGCTAAGGAGAAGCAAGGTGATATCTAAGATGACAAACAGGTAAGAAAATTTTAAAAACAAACAAACAAACAAACACCAACCATGATCAGAAAGTTGGAAGGCTGCTTAAGGCAAGAGGCCACCAGGCTTATCCGAGAAATGACCATATTCCTCTGCCCCCAAGAATAACCAGCTGGTTCCCCCCACCTCAAATTCTCCTTCTTGAAGACATCCATGATGACTCTAGTCTTGGTCACCAGGTGAGCCCCAAAATTATCACAGGTGAACACAGGCTGGGGATTTGGACTTTGCAGGGATAAGGTACAGGTTTAACAAGATTGGGCCCAGACACCCTAGGCAAATGCTTGGAATAACCAGAGCTAACCATTAGGCTTGTCTCTAAGAAAACTGGAAAAGCTAAACAGAGCATGAGGACAGGGCCCTGCATTCATCTTCTACGGCTGCACCACAAACAGGAGCCTGGTGACCGCAAGCAGCCCCCACTCGCTGGCTCACAGTTCTATATGTGAAACGTCCAGGTGGGCACGGCTGGGCTCTATGCATGCCCAGGGTATCAAAAGGCCAAAACCAGGAGGTTGGCCACACTAGCCTCTGAACTGGAGACCCTGGGAAAGAGTCCACTTTCAAGAGTCTGCCTTCATGCAGGCGGTTGGAGAATTCATCTCCACATGGCCCTACACTGAGGCCCTGGCTCCTCACTAGCTATGGGACAGGGGTCGCCCTCTGATTCTTGCACACGGTGCCCTCCATCTTCTAAGCCTGGCACAGTGCCTGGCTCTGGCACTTGGAATCTCTGACCTCCCCCTCCGTAACCCCCTGAGAAGGCTCCCTGCACTCGGGCTGCTGTGACCAGGTCAGGCCCACTCACCTCCCGACCTTCAGGTCCACTGAGCCACACAGCACAGCAGAATCACAGGAGCGATGCCTCATCATATTCAGAGGGTCTGGAGATTAGGGAAGGACATCTCTGGGGGGACATTCTAGAAACTCTGTCTACCACAGGTCCACATCTCGTTTCCATTCTGGCAGCTGAGGCTCAGCCACCAACGTGGAGAGCGGCAACTGAGTGACTGAGAGAGTGTGTGTGTGTGTGTGTGTGTGTGTGTGTCCTAGCCCTCTCAAGGCTGTCTGAAGCCCCACCTGCATCACAACAATGAAGTAACCAAATGCTTTTTCTGAATTATAGAACCATGCAGTATCCTGGCTGGAAAGGATTTTAAAGCTACACGCCCCAATCCTCCAAGGCAGCCTTTGTCTGAATACATCCAGTGACGGACAGCTCACTACATTTCTGAATAAGACGTCAGCAGTCACTCATTTATTCAAAAACCATTTCCTAAGGACCTACCCTGGAGCCATGCCAGTGCCAAGCACGCAAATACAAGGTGAACAAAACACGATCTGCGGCCACTGTTAGAAAGCACTTCCTTGTCGTGGGCCAAGATCTGTCTATCCGCAGTTCCATCTGCTGCCCCTCGTGTGAGCCCTCAGGACACAGAGTACGCCAGCTCGCTCTGCCACCGCTGGCCCACCCCCTCCCTTCCCCACCCACAGGTCCAACAGGCAGAAATGCACTCCTGCCAAAGAACTGAAAGGAGTGCGGTTATAAGGACACCAGCTCCAGGCCAAGCCTGAGGGTCCAAAGGGCCAGGGAGCAGCTCTGTCCTCCCTCCTGGGCTGCAGGGACCTTCGTGTCCCACCAGACCCTCAGCTCAAGGACCCGACCTGCTCATCTGGGCTGTTAGCGCGCATCTCTCAGCACCTGCCTGCTGCCCCCACCACGTCTACGGCCCTTGCCTGTCCCTGTCACTCTCTGTTCCCACCCTCACCCTGCCTGCTCCCCAGACCTTCCCTGCTCCTAGGCACTCCAGTTAAGAGCCCCAGAGCCTCCAAGCTCTTTCAGAGAAGAGTCAGTGTCTTCTCAGGAGCCTGCAGCCACCACCCTGTGAGGTCTGGCCAGGGGAACCTTTCACCAAAGGCTCTGAATGACATACAGTGGGTCAGGAGGCACAGTGGATTTCACTTTACTCAACTACCATGTGCCAGGTCCTGGGGATCGACGGGTAGACAAAATACTCCTCTGACTCCAGAGGCTGGCCTCAATGTCCAGACAGTTCAATAGATTATCATCACACGACGTGGTTAGTGTGGTGAGACAACCTGATATTTCGGGATCCCAGAGGAGACTCTAGACTCTAACCCAGACTGAGAGTGGGAGTCGGAGAGCAGGAGGGTCAGAGAAGGCTCCCTGCCTCATTCCCAGAGGGAGAGGGGAACATTCCCGAATGGGAGACTTGTTTGAAGCCCTTCTATACACACACAAACACACACACTCAGGTTGTTTTGGCAGCCCAGACCACTCCAGATGAGAATTACTAGGCTAAAGGCTTGAAGCAGGAGTCATACACTAGCACAAGGTTTTATTAACAATTCTGAATCTGAATGGCGTTAAGTGGGGCAGGCATTCCCACTTCCACAGGCTCATCTGCTCCTACTGCTTCCGCTGATTCACATAGAAGTGGGGACCTGGGTCTAAGGAGGGGAGCAGTTGAAGAGCTGACACCTACTCTGTGAAACCAGAGGTCTCAGCCTATCTGGAAAGGAGAAGGCGGGCAAGCCGACTGTGACACGTGCTGCATGGTGGGCACCCAAAGGTGGGTGTGCAGAGGGCACAGAGCATATACTCGGCGTGTCTGACTGCATGGGTGTAGCTGACTTGCACACTGAAGCCCATCAGGTATGAAGACTCAGAACCTCAGCCATCTCTCATTCCACCTGCCCCTGAGACCCGCCACTGCCCTCCCACCGCTCCTGACCATGTGTAGGTCTCTGTGGACCTCTCTCCCCCTCTCCCTCCCCAGAGAGCACAGTGAAGTATGATCTTCCTTATCTGTTAAGTCTTAAGCTCTCTTCTTAACCTTAAAAGCAGATAAATTAACCTGTTCCAAATGAAGCTCCTTTGTCAATGGCCCTAAACTTAGACATGACTTACCCCTGATGTAAGAAGTTTCATAAAACAAAATGATTTAGCTGTGCTATGTTCGATTCATAACAAATATGTTTCTCTAGTTTACTTAGGGAAGTAATTGTTCTGGAGAGCTAAATTTTTCAGATTAAACTCTGTCCTCTTTTGTTGCTGTTCAATTGCTAAGTCGTGTCTGACTCTTTGTGACCCCATGGACTGCAGCACTCC